GATAACATGTTCAGGCAATGATGATGGTGATTTGGAGCACAACAGGAAAAGGCAAGGAAAGAAAGGCAGGGATGAAAAATCCATTTAGCAGAGTACTGCAGTCAGTAGAAAAGCTGCAGCACCATCAGCATCCCAAACAAATTTGTAGCTGTGGTAAGCCTGCATTTTGTGAAACAGATGCAGCTGGGCTCTTTTCTTAATCCTCAACACTGCACTTCAGTCTCAAGAGGAAGATTTCAGCAGCAGCTCCAAATCATCTCCAACTGAAAAACACTACTGGTAGTACTGAAAAAGCACTCTCTTACACTTTGTCTTAAACAAAACATGTAACTTTGTATAGGTACCAAAGAACAAACAATTTTTTTTTTCCTTCATGACTTCCATCTTAAGGAAAACGTAAGTAAACATGTACAGAATATTGAGGAAATGAAAATACATAAAATTTACATTATTAGACTGCATATATGTTCAGCAAACTATTTTAACTGTGTAATTCCTATAAACAAATACCTTAGATTGTCCAACAATGTATTTGCTTTTCTTTTTCTACTGACTCTCTCTAAATATCCAGAAAAATCAAACCATTATAGCATATATAAGGTCACATATTATAGGTTCACTGATAAATGCTCTATCGAGAAGTATTTCAGCAGCCCAGTACATAATTTTCCATCCAACTGGTATTCCTTATCTCAACATCCTTTTTTTACTTTGGAAAACTCCACGTTTTCACATTCCGAGAGATGGACACCTCTAATATGCTTGTAACATTTTGATTTTTTTAAAGCATAGAAGAGATTTTATTTTTCTATGCATACACAAAAGTGGCAGGAACATTTATCTTATTAAAACCTTCATGTTAAAATTAAAATGTACAGAGGCCAAATACACTTGACTGTATTGGCTTGACTTTGCTTTTCGTTATTGCTGTGTACATGGCATTAGGATAAATATCTGATCATTGATCTTGTGTGCTCACTGCAAACATACAGGTTATTAACACTTAAATGAATTCTGCTCCGAAATGTCACTCATGCAGCAGCAAAGTGCAAATGTTTGTGACACTGCAAACGCGAGCAGATTACAAAGACAGATCATTTTGGAAGGATCTTGTATGTAAAAGGTAAATAAAGAATGGACTATTACAAATCCTAAGTGTGACTCTTTTAGTCAGATAGCAAAGTATTTTCTTCATTGTTCTCCTCTGAGGGCAACAGTCATTAAAACAGGCTATACAAAAGCAATGAAGACCAGACCCTCACATTGAATGATACCAGGTCCTACTCCCAGATAAAAATGACCTGCAGTGTTTAATGACTTCTCAGTCATGGCATTTAGGAAAGAACATTGCTTCATAACTGCTTATGCAGTAACGTTTAGGAATGAAAGCAAATTAAAAATGCATTTGCACCCCATCCAAGTGGTCAAAAAACTGTAAATGTTCTAAAGTGTGATCCAATCCAGTGTAATTCACTAGGCTGGAAACATAAAGTAAGTAAATAATATACCATTACAGTACTAGAAATATCCACATTTCAGACATTTTTGTGTTTAATCCAATAAAACGGTCAATTTTAATTTACAACTTTGATAAACATGTGAATAGAAACTTTTCCTTTGTGTTGATCTTTGCTTCTTTCTTTCTTTTTTTTTTTTTTTTTTTTTTTTTGCATTTATGGAAACAAAATTTATTTATTATCTGAACAATAAAAAAAAATCACGGTTGCATTCTGTCTGTAATTTTTCTAGATATTAGCAAGGATACAGATTCTACTGTCTGTATAATTAAAACCAAACAAAACTGCAGATTTACCCAGGAGTGTACCTGCATGGGTGCTGGTATAAGAGCACAGTTACAGCAGGTGTAAAATCAAACCTCAACCTGGGGATTCTTTCCTCTTTTGTGCCAGAAAAGTCCAGAAAGAAGTTCTCCCAGGCTCTGGCATTGAAAAAAGAAGTGGGATTATCTAAGGTGCTTTCCTTTCCCTTTTTCAGGAAAAGGAAACACATTGATTCTTTGGGTCTTTGGGTCTTTGGGTCTTGATTCTTTGCCAAACTGGATTATAACACTTGTATTAGATGAACACAGTGTTTTGGGTGAGGGAAAGAAAGGGAGGATAGCTGAGAAACCAAAGAGGAGAGAGGAAAAAAAGTGAAGACATCAATATTTTTGACAGCATTTTTGCAACCCTGGGTGTGCAAAACAGGGGACTTCTGGCACTCTGGAGAAATGAATGGGTTTTCTGTGTGCTGCCAAGAGGCAAACTACAAAAGCCACACAGTTGTCCCGTTATTCATATTGATGTCCAAAGAGTTATATAACACTTTACTCTTTAGACTATATAATATTGCAAAAACACATTAAGGTCAGAAATTTTGATACAGTATCTGCAAGATTTTCTAATGACCGTTCATAAAAACAGACCAAAATGTAACCATCATAGCTCACACTTTCTTTTAGTTTTTGTTTGTGCTTTTGCTTGCTGACATTTAAACTCATCTAAGTGTAATATTCTGAACTGAAACAGAAAGTACAAGTTGGGTTAACTAAAATTAAAATGGAAAATTTAAGAAGTATTTTGAAATGTGTCATGTATGCAGTGCTGACAGTTAGCAGCGAGACAATAAGTACTGGAATGCAACAAGAGATGAGAATGTAACTGAATTTTATCTTCATATCAGAAGACCAGGAAATGAAGATTAGGGATACCTTCTCTATTTGTTGTCTTATAAATATTTTACCAGCTTTTTAAGGATGAAAGTTGCTCAATAAAGACTGAAATGCACCTGACATTTTGGTATGTACCAATATGTATCAGGCATTTCATGCCATTTCAACAAGAATTTGACAGTAAGGCAGACTCTAAAACTCTGAATACTTTTCTGAGATAATTGCTAATACATATTTCTTTTCCCTCCTAGTTGTATGAAACATACAGTAAACTTGAAGACAATGATTAAGAGAGATGAAATATGGAGGTAAAAATAATGTATAAATGCAAAGTACAAACATTTTTTTAAAAAGTACTTCCATTTCACAAAATCATCAGTTATTGAAAGAAATATGTACCTTGGAATCTCCTTTCTTCTTTCAACTTTTCAACTTTTCTTCCTTAGATACGGGTACATGCAGCAACCAGTCAGAATGGGGAAGATGCCTCTGCAGTCCAGCAGGCAACTAGTTCCCACTAAACTTTGTCACATTCATAGACATGCAAAACAACTCAATATATGGTTAGCAATATACTTCTTTTCCTTATATTGCAGCTGTCAGATGAAAGGCAACACAAAACAAACCAAATGGGTAAAGCATTCTGGGATATTGGATGCAGAGAGAGGATGACGAGGAAGAAATTTGTTGGCAATGAACTTCTTGTTTTGTGCCTTCAGGTCAACACACCAGAAATATTCAAGTATAAGCACACAGAGGCACAGAAGTATGTTACACTGTGGCTTTGTTGTAGATTCCAGGACAACCTCTGATCCAATGCCTAATGGACATCTGCTCACACTCCTTAATAAGAGATCCTGAGGATTATGCAGATTATACTTTTCGCTATACTCTTACACAAATAATTCAGATTTCAAAACTTCGTACTATTTCCAATCTACCTAAGACAAAGGCACATCTATCTTGTTGGTTGTTTTTTTTCTGAGCAGATTTTCTTTAGCGTGTTTGTAATCTTCAATCATGGCAGAAGCTGAAAAAACTGAAGACTAAGTTCCTGGCAGCAGGCTGAAAACGTTGTTAGCTTAAGAATCTGATCTACTCCTAGTGAAAAGTAGTAAAGAAAAATCTGCTTGAGATCAGTTTAATCAAACTTTCCACTCTTGCTATTTCAGGAGAAAAACTGTACAAAGGAAAAAACAAAGAACTGATTTTAAAAAGTAGGTGACACAGATGCTCAAGAATTAAAATAAGAATCATCAGAGAAAGAATGCGTGTGTGAATGAGGACACAATAAGATCACTGCCAAGTCTAATCAGACTATTCAGATACAACAGGAATACTCCAGGGGCAGTCTACTGACATCATCTGTAGTGCTAGGAAGGATCAACATTATAACTGTTGTGAGGCACAAATCATTGCTAGGTTCCCGTGGAAACGAACCTAGGCTGCAATAAAACAGCATAAAAATATTGTTGTATGTAGAAAATACATCCTCACTGCTAGTCAACCTAGACAAAGCAGGAAGACTAATGTTATCTATTGGCCTCAGAATTCTCCATTAACCATTTCCAGAAAGTCTCCCATAGCATAGCTAGGAATTTCTAGAAAAAATAATGTGTCAAAATGATGAAGAAAGGAGTCAAAGGAATTCAACAAAATGTGCAAATATCCTGTGTAACCACAATAGCAGTCCAGCTACTATAGATGCCTTATCCTGCTTGATCTTCTTTTGAAGACAAATACTCTGGGATATCATGTAAGAAGAGATGCAAAAAGCTCTATTTTCATAAAGCTAAATAAGAAATATATGCCTGCAAACTCTCCCCACCCATGAACCAACAGGTCTATAGATGCCACTTATTCCTAATCTCTTGATTTATGACCCAGGACAGAAATTTGGGCTGATTTATATAGCTACACTGACCGAAACAGGAGCTCTGTGTAGTCTTTGTTATAAATTTAAATAAACACATTTACAGCACTTTTTGTACTTCCTGAAGTTCCTTGGTGTAAACATTGTCCAAAATTCACTTTTTTTTTTCCAAATGAGAAAACCACTGGGATTGTAGAGAAATAATTCTAGAGGAACTGTGTATGCCACCAATCACAGGAACACTCTACATCCAGTCAATCTGTGATCCCAGAAACATTACTTTTTCCTCCATGAGATCAGTATGGAAGAAAATGTGCTCTCACAAGAAACATCATGGAAGACTGCAACATTTCAAACAAGTCTTAGCCACTCCAAGAATACCGTGAATACTAGAAGCTGAATGTGCCAAAAACCTTCCTATGACTTCTCTGGGAAATCATAATTAGCAATCAAGATTTAAGTAATTTAATAATTTAAATCTTATTTTGAAATAATACATTTTCAAAGCGTTGGCCCTACTTGCCAATATTGAAATATTGAGATATTGAAGTTTATTCAGCATAAATTTCTGTATTTTTCAGTCTCCCCAGTTCCTGAGAAAGGACGATAGTTTTAGCTGTTCTTAGAAAGTTCCTCTTGATGGTCTGGTATCTCTTTGAAAACGAGATGTCCTTTCATAGCTGGCATGAAAAGATTGTGAGACTTTGTATTTTCCCTTTCCTCCTTTAAACTTTGGAGGAGAACGAAAGGAACTCTGAGACTTGTGAGGATAAGAAAACGAGCTGCCAAAAGAGCATTTTTTTTTCATCCGATGTAAGGAATGTTTGTGTTCTGCAAAGTCCTTCAGGATCTGGACCAAGGATTCACCAAATAGCTTGCCACCAGTGTATGGTAGAGAGAGCAGCTGACATCTGAGATCTAGCGATGAGGTCCAAGGACGCAGCCATATAGCTCTCCAGGCTACTGTGAGGCATGCAACATTTTTAACTGTGAGTCTAAGAGAATCCTCAGCTGCATCATGGATAAAGTTAGCTGCAAGTTTACACAGTCTGTGCTTCCTCTGTATAGCACCAGATGGGACACATTTTCTTTTAACTCTGGCTTGTTCTTCCTCCAGCCATAATAGTAATGCTTTAGAAGCGTAAGTGCAGTAGATAGACACTCCAAGCTGGGCTGCAACCAGACTGAAAGATCTTTTGATTTCTTCTTCAATTTTTCTATCAGTAAGATCTTTAGGGAGAGCATCCATGTTAGCAGACGTTGAAAGCACAGAATCAGCAGTAATCAATGGCCTGTCTACCTTAGGCAAGGTCCCCCACAAAGCAGCTTTATCCACTGGAAGGGGATACAGCTTATGTAGGATTTCTGGAGCTTTGTGTTTTGCCTCAGGATTACCCCAAATCCTACAGATGAAATTTTCCACTGTTGAATGGATAGGAAGTGCATTATCTACCTTGCCTTCTTCAGATAAGACAGGCATTTCTTCTGAAGGGCATTCACCTTTGGAAGTTTTCAGCATTAACACCCTTTTAATGTGCTTGAACAGATAACTCTGATTTTCCATGCCAAACTTACGTTCAGCATCTGGTCCTTCTTCATCTTCTGTAGGGGATTCAGATGACACCTCATCATCTTCAAGGGATGAATCAACCTCCAAATCCTTGTAAGCATCAACTCTCTCCTTCCCAGAAGTTGCTTGATTTTTTATACTGCCTATTTGATCAGACTCAAAAGTTTGGGAACTGCTTCCCATTTCTTCTAGAGGAACCACTGGAACTTCTGTAATTGGTATCCTGGGATGCTTTATTGAGTGGGACCTAGTCTGTGCCACAGAAGTTATACTTTGTCTGGCTGCTGTGAGTGCATCCTTTAAGACAGTAGCTAGCTCAGGCAAAATTACAGATTTCATTAATGAATTCTTTTCAGATTCAGAGAAATGAGTAGTAGCAGAAGGTCTTACCTTCCTGTGTTTGGAGCTCTGAGTGTCTTCTGAATCTGAGCTGTAGTAGTCTGGGGTCTGGCTGAACCGGTGCAGGAGAGAAGAATGCTGCCTTGCCAGTGAGCCATGCATTGAGTTGCAGCTGAGGGGTTGGTGGAAAGGGTGTGGATGTCCTGCCTGAGAATTTGAACCCTCATCCAAACCCATTATTTGTTGCTCAGAAGCATGACATCTAGAGCCATGCCTGTATATCCATCTGTCTGACCTCTTTTCCTCTTGGCAGAGGGAAGCAGAGACAGAACTAGCCCTTCTAAGCTCTGAAGACTGCCTAGCCTTCCTCCTGGTGAAGGAGGTCTCTGATCTGACGTTGCAGTATTGATCCCCTGACCTTCTGAAGAAGCTGGATCTGTCAGATCTCACAGACTTTGCTTTGGTAAAGACAGGGTCTGCTTCAGAAGAACTTGCACAGCTACCTTTTCTTTTCTTTTCCTTGTCCATTTTCTTTCCTGTCCAAGCAGACATGGACCTGAAGTGATGAAAAAAGTTCAAAATACTGCGATTTCCAAACCTTTCAAAAATCACATTTTTGTTCAAGGGAGACCCTATACCCTTTGTCCTCATAAAAGCACTGCATCGTGACCAGTGCCGTGTGAGACAGGCAAACTGGGAACTGAGTGACTGCAGGGATGCTGGGCTGCAGAGAGACTGCCAAGATATCTTCTGTAATCTGACTGGTTGCTGCTGCTGCCCTGTCTCTAAGGAAAAAAGAGGAAAGCCCAACATAGACTAATTACACAGAAATACATTTTAGAAAGGAGTTTTTGCATGGTAAATAAGATAAACATATGAACAAGTCTGTAAGCTAGGCATCCAAATGTCCATTTTCACCAGACAAGTGGTATATAAATAATAAAACACTATGTGATTCTTTAGATTGACTTAAATCTCTTCAATATGGAAACAAATTCAAATTCTGCTACAGGTCACACGTGAAAGTAGATTTCAATAATTTTAGTCTAGACCTGAGAAAACATATATTCAAGTCACAGAATTTGTACAATTATGTATAAGGGCCAGCTTCTGCTGCTGAAAGTTCCAAGTACTGAAAAGCAGAGGAGTGATACATGAGAATGCAAACTGGACTGCATAGGAAAATGTATACAGTACTTATTTACATCCGCTTCCAAATGCTGCTTTATACGACTGCTTTTATCAGCTAAATTAGATTAGTACATATGCACTTAAGGCTGTAACAAAATGGCACACAACAATGATTAACCTAAGAACAGAGTAGTATTGTTTTGTTTTTTTTTTAAAAAAAACCACAAGTAAGAACAAACAGAAACTGTTCTTTAGTATTCAGACTGGAAATCTAATGCAGCCAGATCTATATGCACATTTCCCTTACGTGAGAAAGCTAAAGCAAGAGAATTTTTCTTGGAAAAACTGTTTTTTTCTTTTTTTTTAATCTGTGTAAGTTAAGCATTTTCAAAGTCTTAAAGGTTGTTCACAATAATTTTAAACACAGTAATACACTGTAAAATGCATTACAATACGTAAATAAAATATAACACCATAGACATATTTAGAAATTAAGAACATTATTTGAAAAATTGTGGTTCAAAAGCACCAAATGATATGCTGTTGTTTTATTTAATAATCTATACTCCCATGAATGGACCTGCCAAAGCATGCTTCTTATAATGTCAGGAGATTCAGATAGACTACTTTTAGAATGAAGGAAGAGAGTCAGGAATAAGAGTGTTGTATGCTTTGAATCTGCTTTCTCTGTTTCTTGCACTGAAATACATGGAGGGAAGATCTGTTTTTTCCTGTAGGACATTCCCTCACCTCCATGTCTAACGTTGCTGCCTTGTTATTAGATTAAGTGTTACCATCAGTGGCATTTTAAATGCATTTGTTTTCCAGGTAGTGGAACACAAGACTGTCTTTATTAAACTTCAATTAGAAATGCATTTTTAAAAAACATAATGTCAAATGTCCTCTAACTAAAAGGTTGAAAGCATACTGTATTTGATATTTTAAGCACCTGAAACATGGGTTTATAAAAAATCTCCCTTTGATTCCTCCCTTTGAGACAACTGTGTTTGAATCTGGATTTCAGCTTGCAATTGTGGCTTTTTCTCAACTCTCAATTATTTAATCTTGGACTTTTATTTTTTTTTCTTATAGCATAGTTGAAATGCTATCTACAGTTCTACAAAACAGTGGAAGCAGAATCTTTCTCAACACTAAAATAAAGTTAGTTTTGAAATTGCAAGTGTGATATTACATAAAGTACATGTGATACGAAGAGTGAACACAACAAACCACATCAGCTGCTCACCTGTATTCACCAAACGTTCCATCATCTTCCTTCATAGGCTGTATTTCTGGATCAGCATGTGCATCCTCCTTTTCTTTCACTAAAATATTTGAAATAATAACTTTTATCATTAACAGCAAGGCTAGATACCTTAAGACCCTAATTTCTCAAACCAATCAGATTTGGCTAGAATACGATTTGAATAAAAATAATTGATTGAACTGGAGCCTTAGACTACTGCATGTTTTCTTTTGAAGAAAAAGATCTGTTAACTACAGAATTTTATCTTAATTCAAGTACAAAACACTGTGTTATCCTGCATGAATAAAACTTTTCCTTTCTTTCATTACAAAATAAATACTTGTTAAAAATACTGAACTATTTTATTTTGAGTTATTAGCAGAGCTATTGTTTATTGAAATCTGAATATCCACATTGCCCATATTGCCTCTTGATATTTCTCCTACATCAACTGATGAAACTGAATCAAATTCACTTGTATTCACTGCTTGTTTCCTTCTGCTTTCATGTCATGCCCTAACAGTGCACTGAAAGGATTGCAATAGAGTCTCCAGGAAATTTTAAACACCATTTGAAAAATATTCATGTTGGAAAAGAATAGGCTTGGTCTGTTCATTATTTCTTTTCTTTCTATGACATGATCAAAATCAAAGGAACAACACATAAAACAGAACCTAAACTTAACACAGTCTTATCTCTTGCACATCTCTATTACAGTTTGCATTCACTGGTAAGACTGCATAAGTCTTGTGTTAATTTTTGCATGTAATTTGTCTCCATGCAACCATTCAGCACAGAAACCTGCCAATATCTGAGAAGATAAATGTTTACATGAAACATATTCCTATAAATTAAAAGTGTTGTCACAGTAAAATAATATACTGGTCAATAATTATCTTCATCATGGTTTTCTTTGTCTTTCATTTCCTTCTTTTTTAATATTATTTTTACCATCATTATTACTATTATATTATTATTATTTTTATATGGATATTATTATTACCTTATTATTACCTATTACCTATATAGGATATATTTCAGTATATCCAGTATAATATATATATATTTCCATAATCCAGTATAATTGGATTATACTGCTATATAATCCAATACATTGCCTCTTATCTTTTATTCTGGTTATTTCCACAGTTAATTTGTACATCATCAGTTTATACACTGTTGATTAAGATGATATGAATCATTCCTCACAATAATTCATAACATCTTGAAATGAATCTGGCCGCTATAATTTCATATTAAAATAATTCAGTACTTTTTAATAGCCATCGGTATTCTGAAGATGACATGCTAAAATTAAGACAAAAATAATTTAATAAGAGTTCTAAATCAGCTCTTTCTGGTGAGTTAAAAGGCTAAGCTTGGAGCATGCAGTTCTGGCAGGATGGCCAAGTATCCCAAAGAAAGCTCAACCCTCTCTACAGTGTTAATGTAGGGTAATAGAATCTCTCATCACTCATCCTCTAAGGATGAGTGAGAAAACTTTTTAGGGACTGAAGTTGTCCATCAGTGGGCAGATTGCTCCCAATGAGCCTACCAAACAATAGAACTGATTTCTCATATATACAATACAATTGTGTATAAACTAGGGGCAAATGTAATCTGAGATCTGTGATAAATGGATTGATTACCAGGAGATAATTTTACTTTTATTGTTACATATCGTACCTGGATATTTGCCACCTTTATTCCTCCTTATGAAGCAAACAATCAGTAAAATCAAGATAAGAAGTGCAACAGCACACATAAGTCCAATGAACCATCCTTGAGTAGCAATGTCTACCTGCCGACTTGCCATTGCTGGAGAATAGAAAAAAAACATTATGAGAATGTTTTACCTGCATTAAAATTCTATGTTAATTAAATAACAGTCAGTATACATCATTTATTAATTAAGGAATAACACTTGCAAAAATTAGTATTAAGAAAAGCAGTGATATTGTATTTAGTGAATATTTTCATTATTTAAAATGTTTGCAAGGAAAAGTGCACAGAACTTATTTTTGAATATATAAGAATTCTGCCAACTTTTTTCAACATTTAGGCTTAGCAGCTACTTTGCAAAACATGTACACATACTCTCTTGCTTTTCACGAATTTCAGGACCGTTTTCAACCATTTTACATTAATTCAACTACTGAAATGAAATTGCAAATTGTAATTCACACAAAGACTTAGATTGCATTACTGAAATGAATAAAAAGGCAATACACATTAGCTACAGCACACCTATTAGTCAGAAACAGAAACAGATGGGTCATCCAAGACCATAACATTCAATTACAACTAAAAATCAACAATGAAGCATCCTTTAAAGCCTTATTAAGCATAATGTGTTCTTCCTCTCCTCAAATGCGTACAGCATCCTAAAATTTATCATGATTGCCATAATTTAGCATTAGTGAGAACTTAACACAAGGCAATTGGGAAGCTTTTCCTTTACACTGTTTCTCTCCAAATGCTGATTCTATTTGGAAAATAATGTAAACAATAAGGAAACACTACAGTCAGAGTGAGGAAAGAAATTATCTGTGTGGTTTGGTGGCTGGAACTACTACTAGTCTTTAACACAGTAGGAGGATTTTCCTGGATAACCTTATTTTCCACTCTTCTACTTGGAAATACACTGGCCAGTGACTGGCCTTAGGATCTGCTGTTGGGAAAAAGCAAGAAGGGTGACAGAAGCTGGAAATGTGAGCTATAGACAGAAGAAGACATGAAGGTGAAGTAGATGGACATCCACTGAAACCTTATTTATTCTCCTCCAAGCCTCAAACCCAAGAGTTTGAAACTCTGTGGAGAGTCATCTCTGCCTTGAGAGACATAAACAAAGATCATCTTTCCACATGAATGGGGAAAGTCACGTGCAAAGGTTTCCTATGCATAGCTCATATAGTATTTTGTTTCAATATTACTTTTTTTCTGACTTCATGAATTAAGCAAATTTTTGTAAGGACCAATAGATCTCAGCTTAGAAGACACTTTGCACTACAGTCAGATTGTACCAGGGAGCTGGGCTTGATCCTTATGGGTCCCTTTCAATTTGGATGTTCCACAAAGACTTATTTGTTCAGTGTATCAGCTCCCATGGCACAAGATTTCACCAGTATCCATTAGGTAATGTCCATGAGCTTTCTTCTAGTGAAGTGGAGGGCATAATGCACCAAGAGCTTTACACACAGAAATGTGAAAGTCATAGAATCCCATAAAGATTTTCACCTCTCTTTGAGAAGATGTGTCTTTAAGAGAAAACTCGTAAGAACATATTACAGAGAGTCCATTTTCAATGGAGCACTGACTGTCCAAGCTCATTGAGTCCACGTGATACATACACCACACACTCTCTTTTCCTTACAAAACATGGAGGGTACAAACTGGTAATAAGCCCATGCTTGCATCCTTTGAGCAATACTGGAGTCTTGCTTGGCAGACAAGAGCTGACAAGAGACTGTGCTAGAGTGGCAAGCACAATAACAAGAAAATGTAACAGTTGCAGATCAGAATTCAAGCCCATGTCTCAGTGTTATTTCTTAGTTATTTCTTAGTTATTCCTTAGAGGCTGAAATAGCTAGCTTGGAAACATCAGCAGCATAGGGTCCTAGAGGGTCTTCCTCAGGCTGCATGAAGACTGTAAGTACTTCTGAGTACTATTTTAACAATTTTTACATTAAAATGTTAAAAAGTCTTATGTGTGTATACATATAAATATGTATAGCTTATATATATATATATAATGTTTATATATATACATTTATACCTTATATACTGTAAGTATATAAATATCAATACAAAGGACAATCTTAAACAAAATCACGAAGGCAATCTTCCTCTGAATTGCAATCGAAGTAATATATATTTTGTTTTCATACTGAGGTCAAAATTATTTGGAATATTTTACATATGCATTTATAATAAGGCATTAAAGGTTGTATAATAAATACTGTAGCAAAATGCAAAAGCACATTTAACATTCAAATGTAATAAAAAATAGCAACAAGCAAAACAACTCATGCATAACAGTATTTAAGATAGATGGGAAAAAGCAAAGATGAAAACTTACTTATGCAGCTTCCTGTACTCTTTAACTTACTATATATCCAGTGAGAAAATGTTTCTGGACCTCAGTGCAACTTTAAAAATGGCACAGAATTTCCTATGTACTCTAAGCAAATCATCTGCCACAGGCAGAAAGACATTTACTGCTGCTGAACTGCTAATAATGCAGATGTGAATGCAATACACTACTGGTATGCTTAAAAAAAACCAAAACATGCATTATGAAGGTGTTCTGTAGGAAAACTTGCTAAAAAAAAAATAAATGTGGCAATATGCCAAATATTGCAGTTGATTTACTAATTAAGGAAGCATTCCACACTCCAATATTTTTCTTGTTATCTACTTCATTGTTTGCAATGCTTAAAAGTATGATCTAGATTAAAGACAGTGTGACATACATTTTTTCTTTAAGAAATCACACAGAATTATAGAGGTTAGAAGGAACCTCTGGAGATCACTGAGTCCAATCTCCTGCTAAAGCAGGTTCCCTAGAGTAGGTGGCTTTTGAATATCTCTAGAGAAGAAGACTCCACAACCTCTCCAGGCAGCCGAAGTTCTTCCTTACATTCATAGGGAACTTCTTGTGTGCCAGTTTGTGCCTATTGCCACTGGGCATGCTGAAAAGAGCCTGGTCCCATCTCCTTGACACCTTGCCATTAGATATTTCTAAGCATTGATAATATACTTTAGTCTTCTCCAAGTTGAACAGTCCCAGACTTTCCTCATAAGGGAGACATTCCTTAATCATCTTTGCCAACCTCCTTTGTACAAGATCCCTGTCTTTTTTGTACTGGGGAGCCCAGAACTGGAAACAGTACTCCACATGTGGCCTCACCAGGTCACAGTAGAGGAGGAGGATCACATCCCTCAAACCTGCAGGCCATGCTCTTTTTAATGCAGCCCAGGATACCACTGGCCTTGTCAGCCACAAAGATGCCCTGCTGGCTCATGGTCAACCTATTACTCACCAGGACACGCAGGTCCTTCTCTGCAGAGCTCCTTTACAGCAGGTCAGCCCCTAACCTCTACTGAGGTACTCTACTCAGACTACTCCTACTCCTCTACTGCAGACTGCAACCCTCCGAGCTCTGTTAATCACCCAGTTCTCAATCCATCTCACTATCTACTCATCTATCCCACACTTCCTAAACTAATCTACAAGGATGTTATGGGAAACTCTGTCAAAATCCTTGCTGAAGTCCAGGTAGACAACATTCACTGATCTCCCCTCCTGTCTTGACATAGTAGAAGACTGGATTGGTCAAGCATGGTTTGCCATTGGTACATCCATATGACTACACCTTATAATCTTTTCTTCCTGCTGTGTATAACATTAGATCAAGAATCACAAACACTGCAGTATATGCATCAAACAATGTCTTTAAACTCCTTTCAAATCCCCTTCTTCCTTAGTAACACAAAGACATGAGCCAAGGTTCATTCCCAGTTATGTACAGAATTCCTTATCTACCAGTTCAGTTTGCTTTGTTCAGGAAGATGCTTTTGGGAAGGTTTTCATTCAGCTTGTTTTAAGTTACACAGACTTGATCCTTTCTTAACTCTTGATCCTTTCTTAACTGCTGCTTCAAACTTCGGATTTTGTGTATTTTCATAAAATACTACCTATTGCCTTTTATACTAGTTGTTGCCCTGGCACAAATAAACTCTCTGCTTAGCCCATGCAAATTTGTTTGGCACTGTTATTCAGCACTGTATTTTCAAAGCTTTCCTGTAACATAGTAAACTGTGATCAGAAATGGAAGAACAGATAGCAAAAAAAGTATATGATTTTAGAAAGCGTTCACATTCAAATTGTTATATTCATTATTTACTTTGTTGTCTTGTGATTATTACATACTGTTCAAACATATGTCATATTTAAACTGCTTTCTTAAATCATAACACTCTGGAATTGGTGATGCTACAGCTAAATAACTATGCATGGATCAAAATGCTTGGAATGAGCAGCAATACAAATAAATAAAAATAGCTGACCGAGAACATGCTGTGATGACAACATATTCAGCATTAACATAAAAAAAAAAACTTCCCACAGAGCTCCTCCTCCAAGTGAAATGAACAAGCATTACTGATTTGCTTATGAAAAAATTACCACTGCACTCCTTTTTAGTATAATGATATAGAACTTAAGTAGTCTTGCTGACTCACAAAACATAGTTTGTGAAATCAAAATAATTATAAAACCAGTATAAAATTGGAAAATAAACATTTACAAGTAAAAATCTCATAAGAGGAGTTTAAATTGCATAAGACATCAAATTCTGCACTTCTGATTAAATGCTCACTTTGGAGCTAATCAGATTTTTTTTTTGTATTAAATATGATGATATGCAGATTGTTAGATTTAACTGTATATACTTAAATCTAGTAATGTACACATTCTTTAAATACAACAGTCTAGTTATATTAATTAGAAATAGATTGAATAGGTCATCTTTGTGCACAGCACACAGATGGAGTGTGAGCAATATCTTGCCTCTAATATAAAGAACAGAGAACACAGTGAATTGAAAGGATTAAAGCATTCATAATTTACATATTAAACGTGCTAGCAAATCTAGGAATTTAAAAAACAATTCAACATTGCTCTAAAAAAAAGAACAAACAAAGATGCTGGCTACAACATGTCTGAGCTAGAAGCAGTTCAACGTTTCAGCATGTGGTCTATTGAAATTCTGACTATGACACAGAATTGGTACGGTGTGCCTCACCTGGACCTGTCTCAAACAGATCCTCTGAACTCCTAAAACCAGACAGGCCCTCAGCACCAACTCGGACTTTATATGCTGTTCCTGGTGTTAAACCCTTTAACACAAAGAAGCTTCGAGAACCATTTACAATTTCTTTTTTCCAATCTTCTTTGCCTACAAAAATTTTGGGAAAACAACATATTGGAATTTTAATTTTCTATTTGTTACTGCAAGTTTCTAGGCAGAATGCTATCAATAGTTACTTGACTAACGTATGGACCGGCTGAACAAAAATTATCTCAAAAAATAATAAAACTGTATAAAATTATGACTGCAAATAATATATTGCATGCAATATATTAAGTAAGACACTGTAGATTAATTATGAAACTATTTTAAACATTTGTTCCACTGTACTATAGAAATATTCTCATTTATTTTCTTTAAAGGCCTATTGAACTTGCAATTATAAAACACATTAAAATAGATTTTAATCATTTAATTAGATTACACTTCTGTAGCTTTGGATAACATTTACTTTAGCACAGAAGTCTTACTCTGTAATCTGAATAGACCATACTTTCTGACCATCATCTTCTTTTCCCAGTAGTTTTAGCTACTTCTTGGACTAATATCCAGAAAAATGCTTTTACATTCTTATTTTCAGATTATCTTAAATCATAACTTTAGAAGGACAGAGTATTTGAATAGAAATATTTTGGTTTTATTAGGCAACTATCTGTATTCCAATTGTCAGCAGAGTTCTCAAAGATTAAAACCTATTTTATGCCAAGAAAAATATGCAAGTTGGTAGACACCTTGTTTCAAGGTTTGATTGAACAAAGAAGATTGTTTTTATTGACTCTTTTATACTTTTTTTTTTTTTTCCTAAATTGGACATAACTTATGAGAGCAGTTAGATCCCATTTTAATGTACAAATTCATACTTTTACACATGTAATCACTGCATCATAACCAATTTCAAGCAATCTTCTTTTTTTAGAAGTTCATGTTCACGATAATTTATACAATAATACAAAGGAACAAAGGCTGATTTTCTATCTAATCACCAAAAAACTACTACACATTTATATTATCTATAATGAAAATCATTTGAGCTCCTGATCCAGTTAAAAAAACAAACAAACAACAACAACAACAAAAAAAAACAACAAAAGTTCTAAACATTTAAGAGCTATCTTTAATACTGGGTCAGTTTAGGACCACGCTTAAAAATCTTTGAAAATATATCTGAACACTTAGGATAATTTAATGAAATGACTTCTTACTGCCTGCTACACCATATTCAACATAAAAGTTGGCATGATCTGGTCCCTCATACTCCCAACTGATATTGGCATAGGTCTCAGCAGCAGCTGTTGTAACATTTCTGATCCTTGGATAAAGTGGTTGCACTGAATATATAATAGAAAAACAAAGCAGAATATGAAATTGTGACTTCATACACTTAAAAAAAAAAAAAAAGATTTTAAGAAGTTACTATGCTGATTTATATCACATACAAGGGAAGTATAGTACATTTGTCATTGCTTCCGTTATTGGAAATTAGCAACTAAATAGCATGCATCATTGTATCCTACGTAGCTACTACACTGAAATTAGAAAGTAAAGTCTAAGTACGCTGGTGAGCATGCCCTATATCGTAAAAAGTGCCAAACACTTTAAAATACCTGATTGCCAAAGTCTCAGAAAACACTATTCATCAAGGAGTAAAATGCAGACAGCTGGAAGATGAGAACATTCTTGGGGCAACACAAAATAGTAGGAAAGAATGGAGGTAAGAAGTTTGGCACACAGCTCCCTTTCCTCCCCTTGTCACAGAATGGACCAGAAATGCCTCAACTGCAAACCCTCTGTAGGATTTTTTCTCTATTGCTGTGATAACGATAAAAAAGGAACACAATACCCTTATAGAAAGTTGGACGGACAGTATGCATGACTGGGGAGGTTGCAAAAAGGATTTCTGAATATCCTTCACCATCAGAGGGAGTAGGAAAGAAAAAAATAAACAGTAAAAACACTTCACATCAAAAAGAAACATTTAAATAACACAGTAAAACCTTACCTGTTAAATGAATAACACATGCACACTCTACACTCATGCAAGATTTCATTAGTTTTACTTGTTAAAATATGAATGGCTAAGTGATACACATGTATTTGAAAACAAATGGAAGAATGAGTGCACTGAGACCCTCACTTTTACAGAACATTTCTGAAATCACCTTCATTGCCATTAAGGATTCACTGCACCTTCACACACTGCAACACTACGTATTGGAAAGCAAATATCAAAATACTCTGGTGTGAAGGACTCAGTCACTGGAATGCAAATTCAAGAAGCTGTGCATGTTAAAATACAGCATTTTATTGCTCTCATTGGACAACAGTACTTTGCCCACATCTATGAAAAGAAATTTGTTTCTCTTCAGCATCTTGTAATTAGTCACATCTTTGCTCATTACTTAATTTTTTGTTTTCCAATTACACTCATTACAAATGGACACATACTTAAGTATTTTTGGTTTGTATAATATTAATAAAAATATATTAAAATAGTTTAGTGCAAACACAAAGGAGATGCTCCTCAAAGGCATGAATTTACTTTTCAATGAAAATGCCTTACTCTGTTTTCCACTAACATTTTGATCCTGCTAGATATTTTTTTTCCACCAGAAACAGCATGAAACACTACAGACAAAATCTTAGTCTCATGAAAGACAAAAGTGACTGAATTCCAGTGTCTTCATCTGTACCAGAAAAGAAAATGTGCCCGCTCTCAAGAAGTTGCTGCAAAGATTTTATTCACATACTTAAACTATTTTCTCTTCAAAATAGGGTGGCCTTGTCTATACAGCTGACTAGAAGTAGTTCTAAATTAGATTCAGATAGCCTATGGCTTGCTTTGGCATAGTAAAATAAATAAATCCTATAAACAGAGTAAGTAATATGAGTAGTGCATCTAGAAAACAATTGTTTCTGAGAATCTTTAAAAAGACCTCTATGATGCAAATTCCATCAAATCAAGCCTTTTACTTCATAACTTGCTTATTTTTTTTCTTAATTCCACTTCAGTATTACTCGTACAACTCTTCAGTCTATATTAAAAGAATTACTTCCACATTTGATGTCTCTAGTGCACATCTATAAAAGTATATGAGGTATATAAAAGTGTATAAAATATACACTTCTTTCAACAACCAAAATTATAGCGAACAGACTTATTTAAGAAATTAAGAATATACTTATTCTCTGTAAACACCATAACAAGAAAGCACAAGATTTTAAAAAAGCCATTGAGGACACTAAGTCAACAACAAAAGCATTAAGGAATATCAGGCTTTGGTAGAGGAAATATGGTCTGTAATGTAGTGTATGTAGTGCATGTGAATACACTATAGTAATGCAAGGAGATTAGACTCTGCTTGTTTGTGCCACCTGAAGGTAGCAAGAAAGCAAGCAAGCTTGAAATTTACAAAGGTGCAGAATCTGTGACTGTTGCAGTCAGTACTAGTTCTTATGATTCCAGCAGGTCTGGAAATTTTTAGTTAAGCCTATGGATATGCCATATTTACAACATGGATACACATATTAGAAGTTAAAAGGTGGCTGATGCATCCTGAGGCGATGATAGCCTCACATTGAAGTAGTTACAACATTCAGAGCTTGTCCCCAATCTATCCAGTGGCAGAACACTGTGATTTACAGCTACACACAACGCTGTGCACCAGTTGTGCACTGACGATACATCAGTTGTGCACTGTGCACTGACAAAAGGCTCACATTAAAAATGTTGGAATTGGGCTGTTAATAATTTTATGGACCAACTTCTGTTCAGTTCCTCTGTTCAATCAAGATATTTTAACCCCACCATTCAATGCAAAATTTGGCTGGCATCTCTGAGTACTGCTTCATTCTTCTAGTGTAATATGGCATTCAAGCAATTTCCGATGTCGAGAAAGGCCTAGGCTCAAAGTAATGTTTTCCTGTCTTTTCAAATTAATATTATTGGTTGTTTTTTCTTTTTCTTTTTTTTTTTTTTTTTTTCCTTTTGCTTTGTTTTGAGAGAGAGAAAGGTATTTAATCTTACAGCCTTTCCAAAACAGAGTTCATCCAAATAACAGTTAACCTTGGACTGCAGACTTAATGGAATTTAGTAATTTGTGATAAGAGATAAGAAAGGATCTTAGCAACAGAACAGATACTGTCTCTGAAGACTTAGTTTATCAGAAAAGTAAATTAAATATTCTCCAAAGTGATTAAACTTTAGTAGGAAGTTTCACACGATTCACTAGATTTCTTGGAAGAAATGGCTGATCTGTGATAAACTCTCATGTGAGGACTCTTCAAATATAAGGGAAACATCAAGCAATGTGTTGCACAGAATTATTTGAAATGCACATACAAAGTGAAAAGTAAACTCTAAGAATGTTCCCCTGTCACACACACGAAAGAAAAGGTGAAGAAAACAGGTGACAGATTCTTTCAGAAGCTGTAAGACAAATACAGAAGGGGTTTACTTTTATTTGCTTTTTAACCTACAACTTTTACAATAGGAAATTCAAGCCTCAGTATAACAGTAGGACTGAATTCCATTTCTGGCACTGAACGACAGGCATTAGTCACTTCTGAGGCTATTTAAGCCATTGCAAGCACCTTCCTACAGTGTACGAAATACAAAAGACAAAGAAGAAATGCACAAAATAGTTTCACTGATAAACTTCAAGCATGCACAGACTTTCTCTGAAGTCTACAAAGCGGAAGATATTTGCAGGAATTTTTACACTGCAGTGATCATTGTTTTCTCTACTCCAGCATCCATAGCACAGGCATTTTTCATGGTAGACTTAAAAGAAGACAAAACAGTAGTACTGTTTAGCAAGCTAAAATGAAAGAATCACCTATATGTACCACGGAGGAGGCCACAGAGAGTGGCTTAAGGAGCTATATAAAAACACTGTAATTCATGGGAAGAGAAAAAACAGCCTGAATTTGTTACAGAAAAAATACTGAAACATGATGAGAAATGACTCAAAAAGGGAGGTAAAACAGATGGCAAGTAGGGAAAATGATTTAAACAAAAGCATCTGTATGGAACAAAGAAAATTGAGAAGATCCTGTCTTCTACAAACACATTATTTACAAGCTCAGCTGAGAATGATTTCTAACCTAAAGAACTACAAACTAGAGACTCAGAAGAAAAGTGAAGCTTCAGACTCAGAGGCTGATCTACTTGTTTTCTTCCTTTCACAAAATTATTTCAATCAGTAATTCTTGAGATGCAAAGCTTACATGAAGAAGGCAGACCAGACAGAAGTACCACATCGACAGGAAGTGTTGATTTCAATTGAAGTTTCCAACTTTACTTTCACTGCAGATCAGGACTGCTAGTTATCAGAGTCTGTGTGCACACAGAGCACAAGACTTTGCTTTTAAATTATAGATATGGACAGCATTAAAGAGAAACTGAAAAGTGAAACAAGAAGGCTTGCTAAGTGTTGGTGCAGGCATGTAATGACATGGTAAGACTCCCTACACTTTGGCAGACAACATAACGAGTCCCTCTGACTGTTCATGTTAACCAAAACCTTTTACTTCTACCTCATTTATATTCTTTTCCTTCCTGCATAGTCCATTCATTTAAAAATTCTCATGGAAGAGGGTGGGAAGGATTTCAGCTACTTCTATACCTATTTTATTTATTTTATAGGTAATCAGGTTCTTTTTTCCTAATTTCCTCTCACATCTCATGTGTTGTTAGATGTAGATGCCAACAAACAGATGGCAATAGCAATCCTCACTGCTTACCTAATACTGGGTATAATGTGTGGTGTTTTAGGCAGTTTTCAGACTCACACACTTAGAACAATTTGCTAAAAAGATAAACAATCTTTCTTTGTAATACCATGATTTCATTAAATATGTCATGCATAGTATTGCACTATTAGACAGGAAAAAAACCAGCACAAGTCAAATTGAGTATGAATTATACAACATGGTTGCTTGCTTATTCACAATAAAATAATCTCTTTAATGATTTACTCATCTGAGCTTGTGCAACAGTGACACAAATCTTGTTAAGTTTTCCTTTGGAGGAGAATGAAACTTCAGGTTTTGTAATTCACTAAGATCCCTGGGATTTTGTCTATCTGATGCAATGACACTATTTGTCCAGTGAACACTTTGATTAGGATGTTGCATTTATTGCTAGGAGACAAATTCTTCTCTATACTGTCTCCCATTTTCTCCAGTGCTATGTACTTCCATGTCCTATTCAACCAGCATATAACTATTCAGTAAATGAATCAGAAAAAATAAAAAGATTCCTTTATCCAATCTCTTATCTTTGACCTTTTATCTTTTCTTCTGAAATTGTTATTTTACCTTATAGGGAAAAGGCAGAAAGGCTTGTTTCAAAACTTACTGATCTAGAAAATACTTTAAAACACTTAACATCGGTGCAGTCATTCTGATGAAAGTCAGATGGGACAAATGTTGAAAGTGTAGCAGTAAGCAGTCTTTAGTAACTTTTTTTTTTAATGATAAAAGACTAGAGGACAATGAAGGGCCCACGACTGTCTAGAAAGATTGCAAAAACCAGCAAATATATTTCAGGCCTACAATAAAATAGCTGAATCCCTAGAATTACTGTAGCATTATTTCCCTCCACACATTACGTATACTCTGAGAAGTGGGATAAATCCCAAATTGTACACCTCTTCTGGGTTTAGACATTTTGAATTCCTCTAGGACCTTTTGTCCAATGCTTCTGACTGATCTGGGGCAGCTGACAAGTACAAAATTTTCTCTGCAATTTAGGCTGCCTGAATCTGGGACCTACTGTTTTCTTAACTTCCAAGTTAAAAGTGTTCAGATTGAAAAAGAAAGGCTACATGCATTTTTCTGGTAACTCCTGTGATTCAAAATGCAAAGTTGAGATGTTGTTTTTGATAGATCACAAAACACTTGAGAATACCTAAATTTCACATTCTCCTTGGTTTGGGTGTGGAACCCATCAGTAAGAACTCTATCTACTAATAGGCCCTTCTGCACTCAATGGAGGAGTAAAAATTCACTGCCTCTTGTGTGGGCTGAGTATTTCTGTTTTCCAAATCCACCCACTCACAGGATCAAATAATTTGGCACTTGATCTTGATAATATGATCCTCTTTTTCCTTCCTAATAGTGACATAGTTAATCGTGTTAATGTAAGTAACCACTGAGAACATTTATCTCAAAGCTGGTGCAACTCAGATATCGTAACAGATGTCATGGCTTTAGCTCTGTCCTGTTTGCAGTTCCAAAGTTTTCTTTGCAATTGTAAAAGCTAGATGCAACAGGGATATGTGAAAACTTTGAAACCATAAACAGCATGAAACCAAACGAAGCCATCTGCTTAAGTTTTTGGAGAATCTGAGATGACAGCTCTGAAATGTGAGCTGCTCCAGCTGATCATACAAATAAAATGCTTTCTGCTAGCCACAGACGGTGGAACAGCTATAATTAGACTGCAATTTCACACAGAGAATCTATTTTTCCTTGCATGAGTTTTTGTGCTCAGCTATAAATAATGAGAACTTAATTTACATTTCTGGGGCTGTGTCCAGGACTACAAGCCGTGTTCATTGTTCCAAATTGTGTTGCCTCCCAGCTACAACCAGACTAAGAAATGGTAATAAAGACTTGTCATTAAAATAAATCTAAAACTCCATAACTTACCAGAAGTGCATCTGATATCAGAAAGCACTTATATATACATATATTCGTGCAATATACAAATGCACAACTGCATGCATATAAATATAGTCTGACTTTTCTTACACCAGTCTGATTGAATGAGGTGAATGAGTGGCTATTTTCATGGCCATATCATTATTAAAGCACCTAATCAACAAGTGGAAAGAAAATATATGTAAAACAATTAATGTTGTCTCTTCCAAGTTCATGAAAAATGATGGAAACTTTCACAGAGATTTTGACTTGGGATTTTTATGGTCTGAGAATCTGAAACACAGATGTTTGTATGTGTTAATGACAATCCTGTGATGACACATAGGTGTAGAAAAACCCTATTCATAAAAACTGGATGAAGAATACCTTGTTTGACAGAACAACATTACAAAGAACCGAGTATTACTGAATTCAAGAATAAGGATCATGATATTTTCCACTCACTTCAAGCATTCACTCACAAGATTTGTGAACCTAGGAGAGCAGGGAGTCACCTGCCTTTATATTCAATCAGATGCTTGAATTGAGAAGTATATAGAAGGTATTGTCACTCATCTGTCTCCTACGCATAGTTGTTTGTAAATGAAATAAATGTGATCAAATGGATAGCACTAATCAGCAGTGAGAAAGAGAGTGCACCTACTTTCTTAAAACAAAAAAAAATGCACAGGGCACAGGAAGTAAAAATCTCCTTTGTAGATGTGCTGTTTTTCTACTCCAATTCATCAGTGCTATTGCACCTGGACCCTGAATATTTATGACTGTGAGATACATCTGTTATATGTTCACAAATAATTAGACTTCGCTGAAGCAAAGCTAATGAATTCCCCTGGAACTCTGTGGCAAAATAAGCAGATGAAAGGTATTAATAAGCATTCTGGATTCCCTTTATTTTTTTTCTTTCCTAGACAGAAATATTTTCTTCCAGCACTGATTAACACTCTGTATAATGATGTGTAGTTCAAGATTTTCTGTCCTGACCCCTGCAATTTCCCCACTTTAAGCACTGCAAAACCCACACATTAACAAATCATGCAGTTTTATTTTACCTTTGCCTGCACCTACAGCAGGACGAAGAATACCGGCTTAAATGGAGGAAAACAAGAATAGGAACACTATATAATTAGGTAAAACACCAAAGGGAAATACATATTTCATTTTATAAACCAGAAAAGCATGCAGACTAGAGAAAATATATTAATTCAAATAAATTAGAAACAATCCACTTATGCTGAACACTGACAGACTATTACAGGACAAAAATTAATATACATGCATTTACTAAATTTCATTGGTCATGCTTGTTAAGACTCATGGTTTAAAATACATGTAGTTTATATACAACCTTAATACACTATTAGAAAAATTATATTGCATACCAACTCATTTAAAGCAATTGAAATAAATTGCAATTTCACTAACCATAAAATTACGTGAAAAGATGGTATCAAAGTAGAACTTTAACACGGAGATGTGCAAAATCATAAAAGACTTCCCCCCACATTTCCTTTTTGTTTAAAATTACTCTTAATTTTTGAGCCTTCATATTTAAATAAATAATAAAGAACATCCTCAACTGAATGTCTGCCAAAATCCCAGATCTAGAACAGTTACAAACATAAAAGCAATAGTGGTGGGATCAAATAATATAATTATTTAAACATACAGTGTCACCAGTTACATGGGCCACAGATAACAAATTTATTTCTGCAACCTTATGAAGTTATATTTTTTGTTCCAGCTCTATGGGAAAAGAAATCAGGCATTAAAGAAGCTGTTGCATACATTAAGAAAGAATATATTTCCTCAGTGAGCCATAAAGCTACATTATTTCAGCTTTATTCTCTGTGACCCAAGCAGGTAACTGAAGCAGAACAGGTGAATGGAGGAAGATCAGGTTTAGATCTTGTGAATTTACTACAAAAGGACCTCATTTGAGGTTTCTACTACAGTAGGGAAACTTGCACATCTTTTCTTAAAAACTGTATATAGTATTTCAATAGTGTATAACACACTAAGAAAGAGCCCTGGAGAATTTTTTACCAAGGACTATTTCTGTAATGGAAGGCAGTAGTTATATATTTAACCAAATTGCTAGTCTTTTTTAAACTCAGTGGGTTTCCTTTATACATACCCATCTTACCTTCATCCATAATTGTTACTGCTTCCTCAGTTATCTGACTTCCTGATCCAACTGATGTTTGTGCATTAAAGTAAAACTTGTATCGTGTGCTGTAATTCAAATTTTTTAATATCAAGCTGCTCTCGTTGGCAGGTATTCTTATTTCTACCAAGGGACCTAATTCATGCGTGTTGTTAACTGTTATTGGAGAGAAAAAAAAAAAAGGGAAGAAAGAAAGAAGAAAAGAAAAATAGAATTAGTTAGGAAAATTGCCTACTGTTAAAACAGGCTTAACTTTTTTTTTTGTATTTGTTTGCCTGCTGCATTGCTCAATTCAGGTTATATGAATGATAATGCACAGTTTCAGAAGAAGGGCACCTTTATGTAAAAAGGATCTATGAAAGAGACAAAAATTCAACAGGGAAATGGGAAACACCTATAAGTTTCTTAAGCTCAAGTTGCATCCTCTTAAGTAAAGTACCTAAGACCTCTGAAACTCTGAACTCACTGCTTAGAAATAAATTCAGTATGCTTAGAAGTAAAAATGCTGAAATGTCTTCTACCTAATGCCAGGGAACAGTGGAATTTGGTAAGTGAGAGAAAACAATCTACCTTAAGATGTCCCATGAACAGGTAATTCCTAATTCCCAGTGTCCTTGCTGACTAATTTCTGGGCAAATGGATCCTAAGAAGTGACAGGCTGAAGGGATATCAGGCACATTTTAATTTAAATCTTGTATATCTCTGATATGAATGAATGGCACATGCGATATTTTTTATTTTAAAATTAGAATATTGTGAAAATTGAAAAGGCAGACAACAATGCAATTGGACTTATTTTGATCTACCACTAGTGATATTTCTCTGCAGTCAGAACAAAGGATTTATAAGTGCTTTTGATTTGGCTGTTGATTATCTGTGGGCCTTCACCTCCATTTTCCTGTGAAGCATGGTTTGAGAAAACAAAACTAATAGAAAAGTGCTAAACTTGTACTTGAACAAGAAGAATTATTCAAATAGGATCAGATATATTGTCAAAATACATTGAGCTTTTTCAAACTTGACATCTACAGTGCAATTATATCTTTTTGAACATAATAAATTTAACATTACTTTTAACAAATGATTTACTGTTTGCTGGACATATTGTCAAAGGTAGAGCTATATACAAAATAAACTTACTTGGCTGAAACTTCAGTATGTATGATGTCAAAACACCATTTGGATGGGTAGGTGAACCCCACTCTAGAGTCAGAGAGTCCAGTGTTGGATTAGTGATCTTCAAAAAGGAGGGTGAGCTAGGAACTTTTAAGAAGAATATATGGTAAACACAAATTAGATGAACTTAACTCATGAATTATTAAAAATATTACAATATTGAGCCATATTATTATTTTATGATATCAAAAAAAAATCAGCAATTGTATCCTCAGTGTTCTATTGTTGAGTATACATCTTTATTTTCATTTCGTACCTCCTTCAGGAGTTTTAAACATTTTGTCTGGGCTTGCTGGTCCTTCTCCTTTACCATTAACAACTCTAACATTCAGCTTGTAAGAACTATAGGGCTCTAGCCCCGGTAACATTCCAAAAGTCTTGTTTCCCCTGAAAGTCAAGATCTTTTTTTCTACGTGCCGCTTACTCCTTCTGGATAGACTCTGTACTTTCCAGTAGTAAACCTAAAGACAAAAGAAAATTTACAGTGGGTATAGAGATATTCTAGTTTTGCAGAAGTTAAGCTTTTCCATGCATATTCATGAATTGTACATGTAGGAGTAACCATAATTTAAAAAAGCTCAGGTGAAAATCATAGAACCACCAAGGTTGGAAAAGGCCTCAAGATCACCCAGTCCAACCGCCCACCTACCAGCAATACTTCCCACTAAATCACGTCCCTCAGTTCAACATCTCAATGTTTCTCAAACACCTCCAGCCCATTCCAGCACCTGATCACTCTTTTGGAAATGAAATTTTTCCTAATATCCAACCTGAACTTCCCCTAGTACAACTTGAAGCCATTCCCTCTCATCCTATCACTAGTTATGCAGGAGAAGAGGCCAACCCCTCACCTCACCACATCCTCCTTTCAGGCAGCTGTAGAGAGCAATAAGGTCACCCCTGAGCCTTCTCTCCAGACTAAATAATCCCAATTCCTTCAGCTGCTCCTCATAAGACTTTTGCTGCAGACCCCTCACCAGCTTTGCTGCCCTTCTCAGGACATGCTCCAGAGCCTCAATGTCTTTCCTGTAGTGGGGGGCGCAGAAGTGAACACAGTACTCAAGGCACAGCCCAGGTCCATTTCCTGTAGTCTCCCAGCCACTCTGCCCCAAGCCTGTAGCATTGCCTGAAATTGTTATGGCCGAAGTGCAGGACGCAGCACTTGTTCTTGCTGAACTTCATCCTATTATCCTCAGCCCGCTATCAAGAGAAGCAACACAGTGCTCCAGGGGTAAAACTCATCCAGAAAGTTGTGCCTTTAGGACTGGGTGAAGATTACCATCTGCCAGTCCTGCTTATAATTGAAGCCAGTTTGATGCAAATTCTGCTTTGGAACAGCCTTCATATTAGATGATTCTCAAGTTGGCATCTTAAGTTCATATAAATCCATACTTGCAGGAAGAAGTTTACACAGCTTTCAAAGCAGTCTTGCCATCCTGTTACACGATTAGATAATTTTCCTCTAACCATGCATGTATATTCCCTGTGATATGGAGGTCAAATAGCTGTTCTTACTGTGAAAAGAAAAAAACCTGACATTTTTCTAGGCTGGAAAAACACACAAATCATGAAAAGTCTCTGAAGTCACAGTCATACAAAGATCTCCATGTATGGACAGGAGAACTATTCCTCCTTTTATATGACAGAAGAATCAGAGCACATAGCTTATTCTGATGTCCATTTTGCTAAATTTGTTTCTAAAAATCTGCAGATGAGCCTCACAGGTAAATACTGGAATCTCCTTGACTGCCCTATCTTTACCGTACAGAATCTACCACAGCTTCTGGAAAGACATTAACACTTGCACCTACAAACATCTGTGTTAATCCTTGGAGTATCAGCTGCAAGTGCATGACTTTTCATTTTTCACTGCATAATTTTCACGTACTCAAAACCAAACATTAAAATTGATGTAACAGTGTAAACGGGTAAATTTCTGCCAAATATTTTTGCCAAATATAAATCACCTATTTAATTAAGGAAGCTGTGATTTCACATTTGAATTCATAAAAGGGAATTGTTAGGTTGCCAGCCCACTTTTTCTGAAGCATTTTAAAAACATATAATCATATGCTTTATAAGCTATTTCAGTAACTAAGACACTAAGCAAAATGGACGTGACAAGTTTTCAACATGACTTCAGAGAAAGCTTTGTTTCAGTAACTAACTATTCTTAAGTCTTAGGACATGGTACACCTTGTCTAGTTTTAGCTTGATTTAGTTGTATCAGTAAAAATTATTTAAGAAACTTCTGCTGCATCTGCAACTTATTCCAGGATATACCATTGTTTCATTTATCCTAGCTATTAAAGCAAAATTACTCAGTGGTCAGGTCAGCTGTCAGTCCTGTAGTCTTGAACTTGTTTTATCTATGACTGTTGCCTAACTTATTTTAGCTTCAGCACTGCTTAGCTTTGTGTAACTGTGCAGTTCTTCTCTTCTTCAAAAAGAAAAAAAACAGAAACCAACAAACATACCAGATACAGAGAAGGACTAACACACTAAACAAAAGGTACCATGGCATGACTAACTTAGGCTAATGGAAAGAGAAGAGTGGAAATAGAGGACAGAAAAACTGGGATTCTGACAACTCCCTGTAAACAAGCCTTTGAAGAGTGAAAACACTGGATACATTGGCAAGGGTTTCTGTCCATGGCTTTTTTTTTTTTTTTTTTAATTAATTATCATTAACAAAAATTTGGTGATTCAGATTATGGGCATTAGCATTGTGGTAACTGTATTAATAGGGAGTAATAACTTCATTAAATTTTGATTATCATTGAATTTTAATTATCAATAACATAATGGATGATCTTTTGGTTACCTGTTTGCTTGTTTGATATGCAGGTTGATATGAGACTGTAATCTAACAGATAGTGATGTAAAAGTATATTAAGTCCTGCTTCTTGGCCAGATTTATTATATAGGGCAAAGTACCACACTAACTACAAATACTTACATTAGCTCATTACAGGACTAGCTTATGTCTTTCCAGACAGTGGCATTTTGTACCAGATAAGTCATACTCACATACCAGGAATACAACCTGTAATACACTGAAGTTTAGATTCACTGCTTTTGAATTCTAGTCCTCAAATTTATAAGTATGATGTGCATCTCTTTTGTTCCAAATATGCTTTCCTTCTGTCAGTTTTAAAATATTTTCTCTTTCCATTTAAACAGAAGTAGTTCAAAATAGTCTGTCTTATAAGGTAACCTAGCTCAGGCTGCGGAACTTACCTGTTCTGGTGGAAATATTTATTAGTATACATAGAGATGAGTGAATAAGTAGTTATTTTCTACTGTTTTGCAGAGGAGGTCAATGTATCCTCTCATTCTACCCTCTGCTCCACAGCACATCTATCATACTTCTCAAGTGTCAATTCTTGATTCCAATTCTTGCTTCCAATGCAAAAACTCTAAAGAGCTCTAAAGCAACCTTTGTGACTGGATTTTCCCTGACTTATGAAGGTCACCAGCTGGTCCAGTTTCCTACTCTGAAGTCTTCCGTTCTTTTCTAATTGCATTGTTTTGTTTCCAACACAACCTACCCAGTTATCATCAAAGACAATACAGTAAGCTTCCTTCAGGTATACTCTACAGCTTCCAACATTTCCTATATCTCTAAATTGAGCTTTTCCTTGGCCTCTAAAGAGACACCACACTAAAGTACCAACTGGCTAGTTCATCAGAATCATGTGACTAATCATATTTTAGCAGAAGATGAACAGCTGCAAAAAAAAGTCAATAGCATTATACCTTGAAGAAAATCTAACAGAAACTATTTCTCCTCATCTTCTAAATAACCTTTTGGAAAAAGATCTGTAAAACTATTATAAGTTTTTAATCTATTTAATACATGCAAACTTGATTGCAAAAACATCTCCTTTTTCTTCAAGGACAATGTCACAGGAGGTTGGAGCCTTGCCAAATTTTAAATAAGTCTTAACAACACTGTTGCTCTTGTCAGCAAAACTTGTGAGCTCACTGAAAAGCAAGAAATCTCTTACATATCAAGTTACTTCAATCTGGATACAATCTCACCTAGCAGAAGTGATCTATTTTAATAAATGAGAATAGCAAGCTTTTGATTGTACTTACTTTGTACCCTTGCAGATGTCCTCGGACAGATTTTAGTGGAACAGGGTCCCAGTGCACCTTTGCCAATGTGCTGTTAATTACATGAACCTGCACATTGCCTGGAGCAACCATTGGCACTGTGTGGAAAGGTACTGAGTTAGGATCAAACACCACGTGAAAATACTTTCTTGGAATGACTTATAGCATTTCCTTGAGAAGGCAGGTTAAAAAGTTGATCCTGTGTGCTAAAAAAAACAATCTCAACATAAATACTACAGAGTTTTATGAATGCTTATTATTTCCAACTTACTTCATTTTAACTTACAAAAAAAAAAAAAAATCAACTACATCTCTTTTTAATACTTCATATTACTATCAATACTTTAATACTTCAATTCCCACTCAGATTACACGCCTAGTTGCTTTTAATTAATACTACGGAGTCAAACTAGGAAACTTACAGTCTTCCCCTGAGTGTCCAATAACCTCTGATGGCTCTGGTGCATATCCCAGGTCATTTAAAGCCTGCACTTTTATTTCATAGGGAACAAAAGTTGGTGTACCAGACACAATATATTTAGACACGTTTGCAACTACTACAGATGTCCATTCATCGTCAACATCCTTCTGGCGCCAGCTGACTTTGTATTGGAGTCCTGGTCCGTTAGACTGAAAGCCTTTTAAAGACTGAAATAAAAAGAGTAAATCAAACAGCTTTTAAAATATTCTGTAACCACTGAAAAAAAATCTGAAGTCACAAAGTTGTTGATTTAGAATTTTACTGAAAAATTACCATTGTGTTCAGGGACAAAAAAGCACTGCTGAAATTTCCAAATTACTTCTTATATGAGGTAGTTTCAGTTGCTTTTCAGTATTAGTAAAAATTGCACTGAGAGTTCTGAATAAGATAATAGCTAATTACCAGATAACCTAGCTTATACATATTTCTATTTTTCTATACATATTTCTATATGTACAGAAATATGGGGGTTTCTATACATATTTCATTTTTAAATATAGTTTTTAGAAGTAGAAGAGGGAGAAACAGATTTACACCAGCTCTCTAAAATTGTGTGTCTCTAGAGGATGTTTTTTGCCTGGCAGGTGAAATTGGTTTTAAACAGCTCTGTTGAGCTCCTACCATGATGGCAAGGGCTTGACAGAAACACAAGTGTTTTTGCTTTTTTTTTCAGAGGAATTGTGCACAGCAATTCAGCTTATGACAAGAGCTGAGAATTAAGTTTTACATTAGAATTCATTCTAAGAGTATACTTGAGATAAAACACAATTTACATACTTAAGTTTTTCTACATTGGCAGCAAAACATCTTGTATTACCAATTTAGTTGCTTATCTCAGAGAAATCACTCAAGGAAAATATGGCACCTTGAAAAAACATTTTTCTTTGATAACGCATTCAGATTTTCCCTGAAAATGAAGAATGGGAAATGTCTACTATTTTTTTTCTTTTCTAAGAATGTGTTAAACATACAATACATATATTATCTCACAGGCAAATCTCAGATAGATATTATTTCTTTAAAAAAATTCTCTTTAACAATGCTACTCACAGAGGCAACAACAAACAAACTTCCAAAATCCAAACTTACCTCCCATGTTATTACCAAATTATCAGGTTCTGAGCCTATTCCTTGTACATTAGAAGGATTTTCATCGGGGTCTAAAAACAAAGTATTTACATGTGAGCAAGAATGACTGCCGTTTCCATTCCAAGCAAATACAATGCCATTCACAGCATAGATCAATCACTGGTAGGCAGGAATACTTATTTACTTGCGGATTTTGTCAGGTACTGTTCAGATGGTTCACTTGGCTGACTTCTACCAATTTCATTGACAGCAATCACACGGAATGAGTAGTTGACATATGGAGACAACTTCAACTGTACAGTTGTCTGAGATCCAGGAACTTCCGTCTGGTAATGCCATACCCCTGGCTCATGCAATCCATCTTCATACTCAATCACAAAGTCTGGAAACAGAAATAGAATCCAATTTTATGTCAAAACCTGCAACACCTCCCCAGATCAGCGTAGTCATTTTTGAGCTAATCAAAACTGGGCAATCCAGCTAACATTTTTAAAAATCACGGAAACTGAAGTTTAAGAACATAGGAGGCATATATAATATGGATCTCAAAAGTACTGCCTGGATGGAAATATAAGAGAAGAACTCATTCTTTTGCTATGTGGTATTCTTAGTAATACAGATGTCAGGCAGCACATTCTTGTAAGAGCTATCTGCCAGGTACTGGATTTTAATGTAACAGGAATCCTTGAACTATCACAGCAAGAAAGTGGGACAAGATCGGAATTTTGATATAAAATATCATTTTGGCAGACAAATACATTGCTCCTGGTTATATCAAGATGACGTTGTTGTAGTACCTATACAATATTAAGACCATATCCATTTTCCTCAGCCAGATCAATGAGCAACTATTTAAAGTCAAGAACCATTACTTGAGGAAGATTTTTAAGTGCTCTTTTCAGTATACTCAAGTGAAGGAATTCATGTACAGAAACTTAATTTCTTGAGATTTTTCTGAGTGAATATTATTAATTGCAGTCAAATCTGTGCAGAACATACAACCTCAGTGACAGACAGATTTGTAGAACCAAAAGTAAAATCATTATACATTATTATGTATTTTTTCAGCTGTCAATCAGCCAAAAGACAGATTCTAGTATATGAATCATATTACCTTTGTAAAAGGATCACTCAAAATGAAATGGTATCTTTGAGCCCCGTTTTTTTGAGCTGGTAACAGGAGCCACAACATTAGCCTCACTTATGACGCAAATGCTTTGTTTCACAACCTCTCAGGGGATCACACATCAATTTAAATTTACTGTAATTAATACCAGCATTACTTAATTTGAAGAATAAGATTTCCAGTATTTAAATGTATGCATTGGAAAATCTCTGACATGAACCATCACCTGGTATTAAATCTCCTGAGTCAGAATGATTGCTTTTCAATAGGAAAGAAAAAAAGGCTTTTGTCATCTGGTCTGGAAAAAAATCAAAGTACTGACACAAAAATATATAAATACATTATAAAAAACATAATTCAAATATTTATATTAATGCTTTCTTACATTTTAAAAAGCAAATTATGGGTTTATATACATTAAACAAATCTGAAAGCATAAAACTTCAATGCTTTCATTGTGCTCAACTGGGAGAAATCAGAACATTTGAGATCAATTTCCTGTCTAAAAAGATTTAATACATTTATTTTCTCTGTCTTATGGAGGCACTGTATTCCCTCAACTCTCTAGACTAGGAAAAACAAATTAAAAAAACCTATCTGGTTTATATTCTCATGAAGGATAGGGGTCTGCCACCAATAGTGATGAAAGGTAGTGGTACTGCTGCTACTTCAAGTTCATGGGAATTACGACAGAGTTAAAGCCAGATGACAGTAGCTTTCGCCTTTCAAAGGACACACAAGTAACTTTTTATTCATTCAACTAATGAACAAGCCTGTTCTCTACATATTCATAAGAGCGAACCTTGTCAGACGGAGCTCACATCACTATCAACTTTTATATTAAAAAGGTTTTTGCACAGGTTTTTGGAATAAAAGTCCAGCACTTCGGGGCAGTAAATAAATCTTTCACCTTGGCTCTGCAGTGGCGGACAATCAGTGATTTTTTTAATGCAAATAAATGGCAACTGTAACAGATGAATTTGCCATTCTTCCATGGTACACAAGAAAAATTTTTTAAATTCTTTGGTGTCTGCTGCTACAATATACACAGACAAACATACTTGTAATGGGACTGTTATTTTCTTCTCCTGGTACCCATGAGAGTTCAATGCTTCTTTCTAGCTGACCTGTCAATTCCAAGTCAAGCGGTGGATTTGGCCGAGCTGTAAATCAAATGAACACAAAACAAATAATCATGCCACAATATGTTTGTTTCATCTTTGAAAAAATCCTTACATCACAATGAAAAGAAGCCCACAAATACAGCAGTGCAGATCTACCAACTCGTATAAGCATGGTTTCATGACTATTAGCATGCAATTGTCACAAAACAGATACGAAATGGGGAAGAAGTGATGTATTTGGAAACTTCTACACAGTGACAAGAATTTGCACTGTGATACAAAAATGTAATGAAAAGAAATAAACATGAAGCATCTGTTTATATAGTAATAATCTGTTATAAATAGAAATATTTAATAAAATGGAAAATAAAGAATTCACATCAAAAAAGCTTTTCTAGAAGCACTACAGATATGTTGCTTGTGAAATCAAAGCAAGTATAGTGCAAATGGAAATTGAGTTGTTAAGACACTTATTTTTGTTATACTTCTTAGAAATACTGAAATATCAAACAAGCGGATAAAATACACCTTCATAATGCATGAAGATGTAAATGTCCATTTCAACTAAAGAACATATTCAATTATATGAATTGTTACGTGAATATAAAGACTAATGAGTAGGCTCATTTAAGAATGCATAAGCATTTTCTCTGCATATGACAGGACCTACGTAAATGTGCTCAACACTCAGAAGGATTTTTGCATTTAAAATTCTAAATTCAGAAAAAATGATTTCAAATTAAAGGGTGTAGGCTTTCCTTTTTAAGGCTATGCATGACTGACAGATATTTTGGTGGTTTTTTTTAATTTCAAAATCCTTTCTTGGCAGTTTCATCAATCATAAATGAGACAATAAGGTCCTACCCATTTTGTATGAGATAAAATGTAGACAAACTATAACATAAATACACCAGACCAAGAAAGCTGCTATTAAAGGAAAAACATACTATAATTTCTCTACTACATGTTCTTCGATAGCAAATTAGCTTTAAGTAAATGAATGGATTTACCTTTTGAGACTTTCATTGGTTATACAATTGATCTGTATTACAGTGTTCACCATTAGAAAATACTCTCACACTGTAATCTCAATTAAAAATAATGTATCTTTTAAAATCATTTATTCTCTAAAATATAAAGCACCCTGCACTGTAAAGTTCCAAAGTTTATTACTCCAGTACCAAAGCAGTTGGTAAAATGGGATGAAAACAAACACACATTCACACACAAACACAAGAAAAAAGAGAGAGGGATAAAAAGACGTTGCACTTTGTAATGGAAAAATGAGAAATAATCTGGCAGATGAAGGGAACTTTGTATTAGTTTACCGTAAATGATAGCTGGAGTTGGGGGAGCAGCTGAAAAGAACATTAATATAAAGGATTTAATCAGTTAGTAGCCAAAGGAACAGAATATAGCAGGTAGTTACAGACCATAACGATTAGAGATAAAGAAAAGCTAACTTATTTAGAGTAAGTAGTTGAGTTTGAGTAATTGAGAATTTTAAACTGAAAACTGATAAAAGCATTCTACAATAATTTATCCTTTTTTAGAGTATAGATGGATCAAGAAAATAAAGTAATCTTACGAAAACTTATAAACGAGTACAGGATGGTTGTAAGTACAAGAATAGATGTCATTCCTAGATATGCATAAGATCACAATACGATTTTAAAACACAAGCATACTTGATTTCAACTCTCATGTTGAACTTCAGCTCCACTTAACTTCCCCAGTCAAGAATCATACAGGACATCTACTGAAAACTTTCTTATAAACTGGGAAAAATGGCAAACTAACACATTTTACAAAAATCTGCAATTATAAAAGTTAACAGGGAAAACAAATTTAATAAGAAAATCATTGAAAAGTCCAACAATCAAGCATGCTCAGTCTTTCTGAGGAGTAATCTAACTGTAGAAGAGATTCCTGAAATAACAAGTACTTAGAAATTCATAATTTACCATGTTAGCTCAGGTGTGATACAAATTAAAACCTATACATTGTGAAACTGCATGTGTCTTGAAGCCATTAGATCCTTTTGTAAGTAGATGACTCAAAAGCAAACTTCAGAGTAAGATTATTATATTTTTAAAAGTGAAACACATATACAAGTATCTGAAATTTCTTTTGTCCTATCCTAGCAATCAAAACCTATTTTTAAGCTTTTTATTTTAAATCGAATGTTGTTTTCATACTTAACAGAAATTAAATACAGTTCTGTTATTGTAATTTTTTAGAGTATTCTTACCAACAACAGTAAGCACAGCACTTGCTGAAACACTGTCCAGAGTAGTATTAACTATGCAAGTATATGTTCCATCATCTTTATCAGTTACATTCATAATGGTCAAGTTGTCTTTACCAACTAGAAACCTGCAAATACAATAGATTCAGCCAATGACTTTCAATAACTGGTACTGCTATAAGAAATATGCTTAAAGCATTGTCAAATCCAGCATGTGTACTTCAGCAAATATCGAGACAACAGTGTAAGCTAAGGAACTGTATCAGTTTTTTCTGCACTAAACATCTTTCCATAGTAACTGCCTACCTTTTTTTCTAATGTATTTTTATTTCCAAATGAACTACTTTTAATTGTCTGTGATCTACAGCAGAAATTTCTTAATTTACTCTTTAGTTTTTTATGCTCATAATTGATATGCATTATCAATGTATACATTAAAATAAAATTGCATTTCATTTTATTTTGAATTCTAATTTAATTTTTTCACCACATTAGATAAGTCTTATAGTCATCAAATATGGGATAATATTGCTTGGAAAATATCACTAGGCCGATGTGTGCCCTTCAAAATTCAGGAGAAGAAGCACACAGAAGGAACAAGAAAACAAAAATAAAATATGAAATATTTTGTCTATACCTTTCATCATCTGGTAGTTCATTATTGTCTTTCAGCCATATAACTGTTGGCAATAAGGAAGGATCATGTTTTATTACACACTCAAATGAAGCCTGGGCAGATCTCTGAATCACTTTGTATTCTGGCTGTTTAATTATCATCGTTGGGTCTGAAATTTGAAATGTCTATTAGATATTTAGAAAGTCTTAAGTTCTACAGCAATTTGTGATGAAACAGGGATTCATAGCTTACCTTTAACTTCCAATTGTACTTCATTTTGTGTCTTCCCTAATTTATTCCTCGCAACACATGTGTATGTGCCAGTACTATCCTTCTGAGCCACTGGAATTTCCAAGGTCCCATTATCATGAAAAACATACTCATTTCCACGTAAGATGCTACCTTTCACTCCCTTAAACCTTTAATTGAAAGATATCACCATTACCCAATGCCATGATTAAATTCTATCATATTTTATTATTTGGAAATACAAACTTGGAATGCTATGTTAGCAAATACAGACAGCATCCATAATGAAATTTAAACGAGCTTAAATTTAAGTTTAAACTTTACACTTAAACATGTTGCTATGCCAAGTATAATTAATATGTTTGTTTCCATAGGTGCAACTGGTTCTTTTCCATAACTTAAACACAACTATAACCTACCATTCAATTTCAGGCTTAGGTGAACCAAAATAAGCACAGTCTATTAATGCAGGACTATCTGCGATGACTTGATACAGTTTATTAGCAGGAGTTAGAATCCTTGGTGGCTCAGCTGAAAAGATAAAGATATCTGGATTTAAATGCAAAGATACAAAGGCAGAACATAAAGACATCAAGAAGGGCCTAAAGAAGTATTTCTGATCTCAGTCTAGGGTCCAATTACATTCAACTATTTGCAGCCTGAGGAAATATAAATGTAGTGAAATTTTCATCTGAAAAACAAACACTTGTTTCCTATTTACAATTAATAGGGCATTAAAGCCAGTGGTTTCAATTGGAAAATTTAAAGTAGAACATACTTCAAGAAGAGAAACTCCTGGGAACAGAGTGAACTATATAATAACAAGAAAACCTCCGGGCAGGTGTTTTTGGTGAAACACCTACATTTTTTAACAGAAATCCCAAAATGAGGTTCTTTCACTTAAATGTCTCTTAATCAAAAGACCTGCCATTTCCTTCAAGAGAGTCTTTAGGGGCCATCCTTCTACTATTTTTGTTAAATTCAGTGGGAAGATCCTGAGGCCACAATATTTCATAATGTGAAACACATCCTTGGAGGTCTTCAAGACTAATGCATAATCATTTCTCCCTGCAATAGTAATTTATAGACCATCTTTAGTTTAGCTGTGCCTTTTCCAGGGATTACCTGAATCTAGGATCACTGCAGGAGTAAAATGTGGTCTATACTGCAGTTTTCAAATGTAACAAATATTTAACAGTCCCCAAACTCCAGCAAATACATGAAAGTGCACTGAAATATTCTATCCTCAGGAATATTAATTCCTACCTTACTTGTTTGTTGGTTTTTTTTTATGATTTAATAAAAAAAAAATTCTTCCAAATTTCTCAAGATTCCACAATTGTGCTTCTTACCAAGTAGTAGTGAAAGAGAAATTCAGGAATATCCTACAAAAAGAAACCCCAAGGTATCTGTATATGGGGCTTTTACAAGGCTCAGGAAATATATCAGTTTCCATATACTAAAAACCTCAACAAATGCTTGGGCAAACAATCCATGTAATAATAGAAGACAAGTGAATAATCAAGAAGACTGAAAAATACAAGCATTTTTTTCTTACCAAGAACATTCACAAATGCATTTGCCAGCAGGTATCCATACTCATTAGAAGCATTGCATTGATAAACAGCACTTGACCGCTCTTGCACAGCAGAGAAAATGATGGTATCCCCATCTACCTTTCTGCTAGGGTCTTCTGGGGCAACTGTTGGTGTAAAGAAAAGAAATAGTTCTTTCTCTTAAACTGAATTACATGTTTCATGCTACAGAAAAGAAGATATAATATGTGAGACCAATATGCCATTTACTCTGTTTTCACATTTGTTCACTGTGTAAGATCTGAATTCCAGAATGATTAAGGAAGTTCTTCCAGTTCTATACCTGTTATATACCACAATTCAGGGTGGTAGACTTCCTTTTTTTAAAGGTTTTTGTGTTTGTTGCTTTTGTTGTTGTATTGTGTTTCTTTTTGCCTGAAGAATCAGAGGTGAGATCAGATTTTGCACACAAGAAGGAAATATACAGATGCAACAAAATTCAGGACATTACAAACACTGTCTACAAAAATAAAGAAATCCTTCTGAGCATCAAAAGAAAACTGTGTTACAATCGGAACCTTAGGGCCCCTAGAGTTTAATCGTTAAGCTTTTCAAATCTGTTTTTATAATTATCTAAATTATTTAGATAGTCCATTTCAAACTATCTCAGAGTAACACAAAATCAAGTCTTCACAGAAGCAGTGACAGTAATTCAGTAGGTGGCACTCTTTCCCTTATGTAACTATTATGAAGTGCCACTTCTCCAACTATTCCATAGCAGCAAGAGGTGTGTCAAAATGCTCTTGCATCCCAGAATCTAGAATATAATTGAAAATAAAAATTTGAGATATAACTGAAGAATAATCACTACTAGTTATGATAGAACTGGAGTCACAGAGGTATAACAGAATTAGCTCATAACGCTGCACCGAATAAAAATGCACAAATTATAATTTACTGTTTAAAATAGCTAAGTAAAATCCATCAAAACATTACTAATGTTGATACTTTGGTGATTTTATTGCTATATTAATATGAAAAATAAGTGAATATATAAGAACACCATCGTTTGTTTGCATCGATATAGACACCAATTATTGGAGTTTGAGAAAATAAGGGCGTATGTGGAAGACATTTTCATATAAAAATATTCCTGATTTCTCTGGATTCATAGAGAAGATCAATTAAAAAAATTGACATGGATTTTCTGTAAGTGACTGTACCTTTTGTTTCAGATAGTATCTCAGTTCTCAACTCATAAGTGCCATGTTCATTACAGGATTAATGGGCTGCGAATAGTGGAGCAGTGAGTAACCCAGCAGGCAGTCTAGTCACCCATGAGAAGCATTCTGTATCTGCACACACATCACCATTACGTGGAAAATGTACGCAACCATCCCCCCAAAAGGCAGAGGCTCGTGGCTGCTTCCTGTCCCATGCTTCGTGTATCCCTCCAGTGTGGATATATCTCATACTTTCTAACTTACAGGCTTGGTAGGACCCCTTCATGAGGTAAGCATTGAGTTGTATAAAAAGAAGGGCAGCATCTTCCCTTCTCACTGTTTCATTTAGGGAAGAGAGATCACTTTTCAACACTTCAAAGAAAAGAAAGTGGGTGCCTGTTCTAAGAAAAGTGTTTTAAGCCATGGGTCCAGGAGAAAAGAAAAAAAGAAAAGAAAAAAAAGTATCAGGGTAGTCAGTGCTTCATTTCTTTTATCTAGCTACCTGCATGCTGAATCAAGAGTGCTGTGTTGAGACTGGCATCTACTGTGTGTTTTGTGACACACCTAATACTTCCAGGCAACACAAGCACAACCTACATGTCTTTGCTCATGTACTATACTGCATCTTGCTGGGCCAGGCCCTAGAAGGTAGATGCTACATTACTCAACTATAATCCTGCACTCACACACTGCTTGTCTGCCTTCATGAGTATTCTGGTCACCATAAAGAATGGCTGCACAAAAAGGAGAAAATGCTTTTGATGTATTTGACAAACTGACAGGGAAAGCTGCAAAGAACTACATGATAACTAAAATGGATGTGTACAGCTGGGCATATGAACTGTAAGGATTTGCTGTAAAATTTCTGCTGTTGTAATGTATAGCTGAGCATGTGTTCTGTATCAGACAACATTCAGTCTCAAAATCATTGAGTCAAATATAGCTTATTTGTCTACAGAGGAGGTAAGGCCTCTGTGAGATACTTCTGTCATAGTTGGCTATGAGCATCCTGAACGCTGTCTGTCTTTCTGAACACATGCTCACTCCGTTTCACAAAATTTTGACAGCCCAGGCAACTATTTTTCCTCAGTATGTTTAAAGAACTACTATGGCTCTTATGGGGAGAAAAAAAAAAAAAAAAAAAAAAAAAAGAGAAGAAGAAATTTGGTTTCTGAACAAAAGCAGTTAAAACACACCTTTACACTTAAAATAAGAAAAAAATTCCAATTTTTTTTTAACCCCTTTTTACTAAAGTATTTAATTTTCCTGCTCAATTATTTATTTGTGCAATCTCAGGAAGCTAAACAAAAGAAGATCAAAAGAACTGTAAAATGACAATGCGGTCTGTAACATAATGTTATTAGTCCAAATAAATGATACAAATTTCAGCCTAATAAAATTCTAAAAGGACACTTTTTTTAAAAAAAGAAAACTAGTAGGTCATGAAATAATTGGTTTATTGATTTTACAATTCCTTAGCTCAAATCCCATTTTCCTTATGGAAAACTGGAAGATAGGATCCATTGCTGGAAGATTTTGTTATTGTTGTTATCATTTCTAAAAGCTTAAAAACAGAAAAATGTGGTCAGACTGATGGAGGTTATGGAGCCCCTGTCCTTAGGGAAAGTCAAAGTCTGAGCAGACACAGCCTTGAGCAACTTGATGCAGATAATACTCTGCTTTAAGAAGGCATGTAGGACTAGATGATCTCTTGTTCCTTCCAACTTTTCTATGATGCTGTGATTTTAAGATAATCTAATTAAAAACACAGATTGACAATAAGAAATTGCTCACTGAGAAGGAGGTATACACCTTCAATTGCTATTCTGTAATTTATTATTATTAGCAAAAAGGCTAATAATTTTAAATTCAGAAATGATGAATCCGATACTGTTACCCCATTCTGAAATACAACAAAGTATGAGCTCCAGCTGACCTCAGATATTCTCAGCTCTGCTAACTTAGAAGTCAGGTCCCATAGTGCGTAGAATTAGGTATTTTTTTTGTCATTGCCAGAGAAACATGATGTAATCTAAGGTAATATATCTTTTTCTCCTTTTTCCCAGAGGCATACTGTAGATTACAGTCTAAGTTTGCATATAAACCCTTTCTATTCTATAGTGAAAATGCTGATGTCATCTTCAGCTGTTGTGGAGATTCCCTCTGGCGGAAAGCAATCTGGAGAAGAAGGGAATGAACTTACTTCTTGATTTTCCTTGTATCAATGGGAACATATAGAGCTTCAGCATGAATAAGGACTAATCTTACCCAGATCAGTAACATGTCACAGAAAAATAAAGTAAGAACTTTAATTTAATTTTAATTTGAGAAGAGCAAAAAGATTTATGATTATCTTTAGGTGCCTGCATTTTCTTTCATGCTATCTTCAGCAACTGATGTCATCTACCTGGACTTGTGCAAAGCATTTGACACTGTCTTGCATGACATCCTTGTCACCAAATTGGAGAAAAATGGATTTGATGGATGGACCACTTGCTGGATAAGGAATTGGCTGGATGGTCAACAGCTCAGTGTCCAAGTGGAGACCAGTGACAAGTGGTGTTCCACAGGGATCAGTGATGGGACCAGTGTTATTTAGCATCTTCATGGGCGACATGCACAGTAGGATCGAGTGCACCCAGGTTTGCAGACAACACCAAGCTGAATGACACAGATGCAGTTGACACACTAGAGGGAAGGAATGCTATGTAGAGGGACCTGGACAATCTTGAGAGGTGGGCCTATGCCAATCTCATGAAGTTCAACAAGGCCAAGTGCAAGGTCCTGCATCTGGGTCGGGGCAGTGTCAAGCACAAATACAGGATGGGTGGAGAATGACATGAGAGCAGCCCTAAGGAGAAGGATTTGGGAGTGCTGATTGATGAGATATTCAACATGAGCCAGCAATGTGTGTTTGCAGCCCAGAAGGCCAGCCATATCCTGGGTTGCATCAAGAGAAGTGTGACCAGAAGGACAAGGGAGGTGATTCCGCCCTGTTCTTGTGAGACTCCACCTGGAGTACTCCATCCAGTTCTGGAGCCCCCAACACAAGAAGGACTTGGAAATGCTGGAGCAGATTCAGAGGAGGCCACGAAGATGCTCAGAGGGCTGGAGCACCTCTTCTATGAGGACAGGCTGAGAGAGCTGGGGCTCTTCAGCCTGGAGAAGAGAAGGCTCCAAGAAGACCTAATTGCAACCTTCCAGTATCTGAAGGGGGCCTACAGGAAAGCTGGAGGAGGATTTTTATAAGGGTATGTAGCAACAGGATGAGGGGAAATGACTTTAAACTGGAAGAGATGGATTTAGACTGGATGTCAGGAAGAAATTCTATACTGTAAGTGTGGTGGGACACTGGAACAGGTTGCCCAATGAGGCTGTGAATACCCCTCCCTGGAAGCATTCAAGGCCAGGCTGGATGGGACTTTGAGCAACCTGGTCTAGTGGGAGGAGTGGAACTAGACTATCGTAAAACTCCCTTTCAACTCAAACCATTCTATAATTCTATCAAAGTTATGAATAAAAATAATTACTACTGCTATGTATTCACAATGACTATCTGCTCGTTGAAAAACGTTTCAAATAGCAATTTTTACTTTTTTAAGTTCATGAATAAGATCATTTCAGTGTAGGAAACTACACAGGAGGAAGAGGAGCTGCAGAATTTGATACCAATGCAGGAACAGAAAGTCTGTTGTTTAAGCTGATGGTTTCTCTTTCATCTCTTTAGTAAAGCTGAATTTTCATTTTGCATCAATTTCTTAGTGATGCTGAGAAAATTGTATTAGATTTTTATAGTGAGCATCTCTTGCAGTAGTTCTACTAATATTATAATTCTGTCCTTAAGTTTATGGCCAAATAATAGTTAATGTAAATAGTGCCTGAGATTACCACTAGCTTTTAACACATTGTTTTCAGCTCTGATTTCAGAGATATCTTTAAAGACCCCGTTACTGTTGAAAAATATTAAGAAAGTAAAGACAGTTGGGTTTTTTAGAATCTTATGGTCCTTGCATAGTGATGACCTTCAGATTCTGACAGTATCAGGTGATCACTTTTATTCTAACTCTTGCTAAAAATAATCTACAAATTTTCATGATTTGCTTTTTTCTCCAAAAATTTATGTTGACAAGCAATTTTCAAAAGAAGGAAGATCTTTCTGTGGTTAAAAATAACTACAGTTGAGAGACTGAGGTGGCAGTTCAGAAGAACTATTTGTAAAATGTTGTACATCTGTATTCTGATGGATTAGCTATGACAACAGAAGAATGTCACAGAAACAGGACGTATTTCTGCACAGATGCATACAGTTCCAATGGTATGCTGCAGGTTCTGACACAGACGAATACTAGACTATGTTTTCAGAGTTGGGTAAATCTGGACAAAAGCCAGTAGAAAAATAGTGAGGATGAGCAGTATAGAGCATCAGAAAGATTTGAAAACCTATAGGGTCATACAAGACTGAAAGTAAGCAAGAACAAGAAACTTATGCAATTCAACTTTGCCTTACTCTATCACCTACAGCGAATTCTCGAAGACTTAAGTCTGGAAGAGATAGAGCAAGAAAAAAGTGCCCTTTTCTTAATAATCTCACATGATTCTCGGTTAAATATTTTACAGTCATCACTGCAATCCTTGTTCCAGGGCAAGCTTTTGATTTTAATCATACTATTAACACCAAAGGGATGGCAGGGTATTACCCCCACAGCCACAGCTGTATTTTGACTATCTGCGCAGAATGAAAAAAAGCTGCTTATCAGAGGTTTTACTATCTACTGCAAGCCCTAAGCCAGATTCATCTCCTTGGGGCATCAGAGTCCAGCAGGTTTCCCTGCACCCTCCATGGCCATCATAAGCAGCATGTGTGTGTACTCACACAGAGCATGATGGACAACAAATCCCCGAGCCAGGGATTATCAAGGCCTTTCATGAAGGAAATTTAAGGGCTAATGTTTCACCATTCACTTCAGTATGATTACTAATGGAGACTAACTCAAACTAAGATTCAATGTGAAATGTGATATGAACAAGTGAAGAACGTTTTGAAAGCAAATAAATAGTGCCTTTCAGTGCACTACTTTGTTTAAATCTAAGTGTATTTAATATTTAATAGTTCATCATGAACTATGAACTACTGAACCAATAAATTAGTCCTTTGTGCAGTGTTTGCAATGTCTTTCTGCAGTCCAATTATGAAAGCGCTTCCCCTTCCCAATTAATCCATGTTGTTACTTTTTTAAAAGTTGAGATACTTCACGCATGGCTTCCCTTTTGTAAAGCCATGTTGAATATCTGAGCACTAAAACACAACGGATTATGCAGCAGTATAAATAATGCAGAACTCGAGTGTTAATTGAAGCGCGAGGCAAGGCAGAATCATGGCCTGAACTTTCAATTGCTACTCGCAAAGTAATTCTAATTGACCTCAATGGGACCGTGCATGTGGGTTCAAATTACTCCTGTGAGTAAACATTACAAGGTTAGCTCTTTATCACTCCAATATGCCCAGAACAGCTTGCTTTAAATTTAAAGCATTACTGTCCAAAAAAATGTTCTAAAAGATTTCAAATAAACTTGAAATCTTCCTTTAAAAGTATCACTTCATGCTGAGTAATATAACCTGGAACATTTCGCTTTTTTTCATAGATGCTTAAAGTACGTTAATTTTTTATTTATTTTGATACAAATCTGGTCTTCATCTTTCTTCCCTTTTCCATTTTTCCTTTCTCTTTCTGTTATTTAAGGCTCACTCTTTCACTGAGACACGGATGGACAGCTCTTTCTTCAACACTCCCCCTCCCTGCCTGAATGTATTACAGAAAAACAAAACCGGAAGAATTAAGCATCTCCCAGTTGTGCTTTCCAATAGAAAATGAAAGTATTGCAAACAGATTACTGGGCCACAGGAGGCACATTGTGGGATACATGATGACAGCAGGGCTTTGAAATTCAAATGTAGTTCTTTTTCTTTGAAATCCTGCCATGGGTGTAGCTCAGTCAGCACTGCCCTGAAGCTGAAACAGCTGCTTTAGTTTCCTTTTACAGTGATTTACTAATCATTCAGCTGGGAGAGGGGCTCAATTCTGTCATTTAGTAACAAGTGAACAAAAGGGCATACTGTACTTGGTAGTTTCCATATCAGCTTTTTGATAACTCAGAATAACACAAAATTACAAGAATCTTAAGAACTGCAGTTTCTGTGATCATGATGCTTTTCTCTCTTTGATGCTCTGACAGATTCAGTGTCCTGGAGCATCCAGTGAACTTGAATTTACATATTTAAGATGGTGAAATTTCAGCCTTCCTCAGCAGTGAAAGTGACCTTTAGCATAACGCTTAGCTACTAAGTTATTATTTGCTGTATTCGTTTGCCTTTCCTTTTTTTTTCCCTCCCTCCTACTGAGGTTGAGTGGTTAATTTTATTAAAGTCTTTTAATTTTTCCTGGGTTCCCTTCAATAAAGCTCCACATACTGATTCCTCAGGGCCAGTGAGCTGCCCTTGCTTTTGGAAAATTTGGTGGTATCATGCAGCTGCTTCCAAAAACTTTGTATCTCTTAATGTTTTACTGCTACCCTGAAATGCTGCGAGATGCATTGTGCCTTTTCTGGAAAATTTACTTGTTTGTTATTTTTATAGCAACTCCTACAGCTTTGACAAGGAAGCAGTACAAGGCAAAGATGCTTTTCACAATCATCAGCAAAAGCTGTTATTAGTCAGGAGTGCTGAAGGAGTAAACCATCCGCAAGACAAAAGTCTCCACCAAACAAAGCAAAACAAGATTAATGGCAACTATATACAAATAATAAGGATGTTGAGACTACCTAAAAGCCAGAAAGGTAAGAACAGGATAGGTACAAAAATTCAAGAATAAAGCAGAAATTCTCATTTACGTACACACAGCATGCACAAGACTACTTTGCTATTTTCCTATTTTCCTGCAGTACTTACCTTTGTTTGGTGAGACGAGTAATAGCTCTCTGAAATGGTGCTTAATGTGAGCTTACATAGTTTTCTTAAACAATGGAAGCTTCTTTTTTGACATCTCAGGCCAGAGATCTTAACTTACACTTAAGTAATACCCCTGAAATAGGCTCTTGGCTAAATAACTGTTTCAATACTTCCCCTTATTTCATCCTTTTGGTACAAAAGATGAAAATGCTAGACTCTGTTGGCTTCCGAGAACTACTTTGCTATTACAGACATACTTGTGGAAATTAGAATCATGGAGTGTCTTCCGTAAATACCTTTAGATTTTCCTCAAGTTGCATACTTTTCCCTGCAGTTCAGTTTCAGATCTCTTGTATTGCAAATATTTTGAATATATCTAATGTAAGTTCTTGTTTGCCTTTTGCTATTTCCTATATTCTCACTATAGAGAGATCTATGTGACAACCACTTTTGGTGCACATCTCAAACACCTCCTGAAAATCCTGAAAGTCACAGTCATACAATCAGTGAGTCAGAACAGTCCAGTATTTTACAGTACATTCTCTCTCTCTTTTCAAAAGGAAACATGGTGGATTGTTTTTATATTGCTTTATAGGAAAGGAAGGATAAAGCTAGACAAACCAAGTGGGATTTAAGGGTGGTGGCCATGCTGAGTGCAAAACAACTGACAACACACTGCAACACCCTCTGGCAAGCTCTTCCTAAGTAAAGTTGTGCTTTATGTAGCAGCTAACATGTGTTTGACTTAGTCATCAATTCTGGGATGCTCTTCTTACTCATACACAGAGAAACAACCATTTCACAGGCTTACAAGTTCCTTTTCTTTGACATCTGATTGGGACATGTTGTTTTCCAGGCACTTGCTGATGTACCTGGTCAGTTTTGCTGCTGTTTTTTTATGTGCTGAAGCTTCCAACATAATCTAATCTGCAAACCCTGCAAAAGTGCTCTGAATATTCACAGGAGTGATGACTTACATCATCTTTTTGATTTAGACACAAAATGTGTATCTCTGGGGCAGCAAATGAGGGAATTGTTCAACATGAATGCCAGTGGTGGAAATGATACCTCAGCAATACTCCTCCAAAAAGAATGGTACAGCTTTGTTGCTATGGCTCTCTGTAAGCATGCTACCAGATGGGATAACCAGGTGTACGTTCACAAATCCAGTGTTCTCAAGCACATTAAATGCACATTTTGTTATTACATCTTTAGCAACCACAGTATTTTTAACACTTATAACTCACTTATAATTTGTTATTACATGTCAGGCAAAAAAAATCTTCAAACACATGTTCCTCATTTATAATTTTTATAAAAATTAACACTTTTTGTATTTCCTTATTAATCCTCCTGCAAGGTAGTTAGACATCTTACTTGCTATGGGAACGCCATTTGTTAACCAGCTTATGCTAGGTTTTGGGTTGCCATTAGCTCTGCAGATCAATGTCCCATCTTCTCCAGGAGATAAGACCAAGTTCCTGGGTGCTGTTATCCAGTAGGGGGAAGCTGGAGTTAGGAACAGAAACACAGCAATCATTTTCCAAAATTATGTACTGAAAACCATGAGGCACAACAATGGAAATAATAAAATAGTTCAAACTGTACGTATAGGTATAGACATGCACTTGCATGGTCAATTTTTTTTGTACACACGATATTCAAGGATTATGTGATAAATAATACTTTGACTAAACTAAGCTATTGAACTGCACTAAATAGGGGTTAGCTTTTTACTTCAAAATCCTGGAATAAATAACAAAACATTCCTTCTTTCTTATAGGGCTACTCATTTTTAATAAAAAATTGTCTTTCATTAAGACAGCAAGATTTATCTGACTACGGCATCTATAGAGGCTAGAATGGTCTTTTGATTAATTTTAGATATATCCATGTTCTCAGTAGTTAGACTGTTGGAACTGAAGTTAGGATAGATTATACAAAAAGATTTCATGTCAAGGGTGAAATTTATAAGTGGCAAAATCTTTGGTCTTGCTGAATTCAGTGGGTGATTTCAGTAGGGTTAGAAGTTTATGTGATACAGTTGAAAACACACAAAAAAGATCAAAACGAACAGAACACTGAGCTTACCAAAAGATCTGCATCTATGCCATCATTTTGAATTAATTATTTTTTACAAAAAAAAAATCCAAACCACATCTATGATATATTATCACAATTTGCAATTTAACTTCAGATTTTAGTCTGGTAGATATGTGCAAACAAGTCTTCTGTTATTGAAAAGAAGGCTAAATACAACCATAACAGGACGTTGGGCTACTGTAATGTAAGTAGCTATTGAATATGCAAAGAGAGCACTACAAATGGTTACTTAAATGCCCCATAAGCTGTCTTTGCAATTTTTTTGTTTTAGAGTACTCAAAATATACTTACAGTTTCTATTTGGACAAAAATATTGTGGTTTTGGAATTAGTAAGACAATAATTCAGACAGAAAACATCAAAGAAACAGAAAATAGAAATGTTCACTGAGGGAGGAAAGGGAGCATGAGATGACCAGAAAAACTGAAGAAAAATTTGGGCTATATGAATGGAAAGCAGAAAAGACAAAATAATAATGAAGCGAAGAAGAAAGAAGAGAGATGTGGAGGAAGATAAAAAGACAACAACAAGGGATAGAAGCAGTTTAATGACAGTTGATCAAAAGATCTAAAATGAACATAGCTAAGGAATTATTTTACCGGTGTTAATACAGCCCCAATTTAGCATGTTGCTTGACAAAGTAATATAATAAAAGTGAAATGGAGGTTAGAGGTGGTGAAGTCTGTTTGATGGCAGAATGCAGTTGGCTTATTGATCACTTCACCCGTTATTTTTTACTGTTATCATCCATGCTTTCAGCAATAATTTACTATCCAATAAGCATATTTCAATCTTGCATTCTTGACGTTGACAGTATTGAATTAAGATTACTTAAGTATTACCTTTTACAGTTACTGAAATGACATGATGAGTAGAACCTAATATGTTTCTTGCTATACATTTGTAGTTCCCAGAGTCAGCTTCAGAAACATCTATAATCTTGAGAGTTTTCTTGAAATTTTCAAAAAATGTTCTGTTGGCTGGCAGTTCACCGCCCTCTTTAATCCAGCGGATTACTGGCGTGGGTCTGGAGAAGCAGAAGTGCAGATCAAATTAAGGGACTGGTAACAAGGAAGATGAGAATTCCACACTTGAAGATATATTTTATGAACAATCTATTTAAAAGACTTTACTCAGATTTGTGGTACATGTCCAGCAAACACGCAAAGTATGCCAGCATTTGTTTCTAGGAAACAACAAGCCTCACTAACACTGTCAATGACCCTCTGTTTGTGGGCTTAATAATTACAGAATACACTTGTCTGCTGATTAATCTTAAAAACCTTGATGGTTAATAAAGGGATACAAATGTACTTCATATCTTGCTGCACCTACACTTTTTATTATGATTACATAAGAGTAACTTTTGATAATGATAAGTTTGCAACTGTCCTTTGAGCAATATTTTAATATCTTAATGCTTCACGAATATCATAAACACAAATTCGTTAGGAAACAAATCTTTCCTATGAGAAAGAAAAAAAAAAAAAAGTCAGTTCTGAGTCAAGTATGGCTACTTATCACTGCACTGTGTCTAAATCTTGGTTGTGCTTCACGTCAGCCACTGAAGTCAAAAGATTTTCAAACTCACGCAGACAAAAATTAAAATGTGTTGCTTACTGAGTAGAATGTCTGTAGAATGTCTGCTCCAAAACATTAGTGAATCAAGAGGCCTGAATCTGGCCTCTTGTGGATAACAGTGTAAACTTTCCTCACTGAATTATTAAGAATAAAGTTATGCAACATAAACATTACAAAGACACAAATCCATATAAAGCATGATATTTTAATTTTTCCCTGTTTTTATACAGCCATTTTACTGGAGTCTGGACCTCTGATTAATTTATTGCCAGGTTGCCAAAAAGTCCACCATAACCATATGGTGGATGAAGATTACAAGATCTGATTCTATTCCCACTCACAGTTGTGGTTATGCTAGTGGGGCTAATGCAAGGACACCTGAAGAGACCAACCCTTGAGGTGCTTAAGGAACCTTTGGATGTTTTGTTGAAGGACATGGTTTGTGAGAGCTGTTGAGGATTAGTGGACTGGGTGATCCTGTGGGTCTTTTCCAACCTTGGAGATTCTACAATTCTATGACCACAGCTGTGACAGAAACAGTGCACCGACCCCTACATCAATCTGTGCCAAACTGTACATGCCCATACCCTCTGGAGTTTATGCAAGTGAATACCTCTAAATGACATTGTGTTATATCATTTGCTGGTTTACCTCACTGCTACGTCAGAGTGATCTGCACTGAATGTTTTTGTGTACTGTAAATATATTTATAGTTTTTGAAATAAATTGGTACTGCAAATTTTCCAGTACTACAGTAACTGAACCATTTTCTTCCTGAGAATGAAATGATTTAAGACCAAACTAGTTCATGAAACTAAATTGTTCTTTGGTAATTTTTCACTTGCACAATAAGCACTGAAGGCAAACATGCATTACACTGAAGAAACGAGTACCAATTAAACTCAATTACAATGAGAAGTTGGATGTAAATCGCTGAAGGTATGTTCTGACAACTCCCACCTAGATGATCTCCTAAGTATTAGCATACGCGAGCAGCCTTTTCAGATTATATCAGTATATTCTTATCTTTTTTTTTTTTTCATTTATGCCATTTGAGAGCCTAGTGGCTATATAGTTAGGAAGAAATCAGACTTGTTTCCTGAAAGAAATTCTTCAGACATGGAGACAAGCATCCAATGTTACCTTATGACTTTTCTTGCTCGCGTCCTAAAAGCAGAGGCCATCTCAAATATTTAATAAAATGAGAAAAACATTTAAGTTCATAGCTGGCTTTAAAATCTGCTGATTTTAGAGAAAATGGAAGACTTCCTTCAAGTCCTCTTTCCATTTTATATTTCTGTTTCTTTAGATCCTTAAAATTATAAGTGTTAACTTTTAAATTATCTCTGGAAAATTCTCCACCAATACTGTACTTCTGTTTAGAAAAACATGGAATAAAAAGTCACTCACAATCCTGCTGCAATGCATTCCAACAAAAGAACATTTCCTCTCAGTTCCACTTTGCTACTTGTGCTGCCTGTTGGTGTAAGAAGGACTGGTGGCCTTTCTGTAACTGGCTTGGCTGGAACAAGAAAAGTTAAAACAATTAATTTCCAGATTTTATTTTAATAATGATCAAATGCACACATCTATTCTCACATTTTGGACATAAATTTTGATACACATAGTCCGTTTAAATAAAAAATATCATGTCACATAAATACACAGTTTAACAAGTTAGGCTTTTGACAGACATACCAGAATCATATTTCAACCTAGTAAATGCTAGAATTTTGAACACACACGTGAAGAGAAGGCTCAATGCAGCCTTTCAGTAGTTGGAGAGAGCTTACATACTGGAGGAAGACTGACTTTTTACATGGGCAGACAGTGATAGGACAACGGGGAATGGCTATAAACTAAAAGAGGAGAGATTTATGTCAGATGTTAGGAAGAAATTCTTTATGCAGAGTGTGGTGAAGCACTGGTAGAGTTTGTTCAGAGAGGCTTTTGATGGACCATCCCTGGAGGTGCTCACGGTCAGGTTGGATTGGGCCCTGGGCAGCCTGGTCTGGCGAGTGGCAGGAGGGCTGAAAGAAGATGGTTTTTAGGGTTCCTTCCAACCCAAGCCATTCTATGATTCTACAAAAAAACCTCATTTGTTTGCTGAAGGCAGCTTTTGATACATAGGGTTTACATAAGCAACTATGTATGGATGTATACTGAGCTTGACCCGCTGCAGTCTGCAAAAGATTGAAAGTTACCAAAAGTTTCTGGGCTTCCATCAAAACACTAATAAAGCAAAGTAACTAAATCCAGAAATATAAACAAAGTTGTCAAGAGGTATGCTTCAGTTTCAAATATGTTTTGTTCAGCATTTTCTATAAAACGTGAGAAATCTCTAGAAATTTAGCTCTGTCTTCTCTTCTTACTATATACTCAATCTAAATTCCAACCATTACCCTCTCTGGTAATAATGGAACACTGATTGTCCACAAGAAGTAACCATAGCAAACAGATAGCTATAAGACCTGTTTCCAACATTATAGTCAGTATTCTGAAATCTACTATGTTGTCTCATATGCCTTCCTGTCAACGTTCTTTTAAAGTTATTTTAAAATAAAGGATCAACTTGCCCTAAAGTGCAGCACCAGTCTGAATTACTGTATTAACCTACGGTTATTTAGTTTTGTTTTTTAATGTGGACAGGGCCAGGATTTATTGACAGACTGACATAAAGAGAGCACTTAATTTTAATATGGTATTTGTCATGAATTCCTTAAAAGTAGTACCTGAGCAACTTAAAGTTGGGAGCAAAGCATAACAAGCACAGTCAGTAGTCACGGGCTCTTAGTAGTCTACCCAGTTTCTTCATTTCCAAAGATCACTGTCTCATTTTGCAAGACCATGAAAATTCAAAGAATTCTCTCGTATTTCTGAGTTGTGAACCAATTAATTGTGCTCTTTACTAACTATCATTCTGCACTCAGCTTCATAGTTATCGTTTGTTCTTGAATGAAAGCTTATTTTTATGCAAAGAATTAAAATATTCTGTGTCCCTGATGCAGTTCAGATTATAGTAAGTTACAATTTAACACATAACACATTATACACATAGACTCACTTGACAGAAAGACAAAGCAGAACAAACGTTATGCATTTATTTCAAACAGCATTAAGTGGGGAATTCCAGATGCTCAAATGCTGTGGCATCAATCTTACCCCACAGTCAGCCTTGCTAAGCACAGATACCTGTTCAGATGGATTTAATTTGCAATACACAAAGCACCATTCAACACAGATTAATGAAAAGTTCAAACACCAAACAAACAAACACATCTTTTCCCTGCTATGTTATTTACACAGATAGTATTAAGGTGTTTAGATTTTAATCAATTTCAGTTCAGTTTGGCATTTATGAAATACATTAAAAATGAATGGTACATTCAAGAAGTTATTAAATATAAAGTGTATCTGTTAGATGCTTAATTGTTGTTATCTATTATGCAGCACGTGATATTGAATAGTCCCAGTGATAATGAACAAACCAAACTAATAGTTGGAGAAAAAAATATTAAAAAGTAACATAATTCAGAAGCAAATAGACAACTTGGAAAATCCGCCCCAGTGTGAAAGGATTCATTTATCTTAGGAGCTGGTATTTTTTATGAGACATATATTACAGTAACATTAAAACATTAACAAGTTGAAAGGACTGTGCAGTCCATTTTGCATGTATTATCACCAGTACTAATAGATACCTTCATTAGAAATTGAAAAGGAAGCAAAAGGTTAAGCAGCTACGAAGGTAAAGTTAGTGAACTAAATACTACTGTGAAACAAGGAGTATCAGTGAGGACCAGTATAACTCACCACCATAAATATCAGTGTCACTCAAATTAGCAGCTATAGTGTCATTCAATGAATCCACTGAAATAAACAGAATATCATGAAGAATGCATACAGGAGGGATAAATCAAAGTATTGGGAATCAAAAGGTGATGTTATGGCCACGGTGAGTTAATCAAATGATTGATTAATTTATTTGGATAGTTACAGCCGTAACAGATTGATATTCTTCACTATGAAACCACTTAAAAAGTTATTCTTACACTATATTTTTTCAATCATTCAAATCCTAGAAAATGTTTCTTCAAAAGACAAAGCTTAATAAAAGGAAAAAAGACAGCTTTTAAAACAGATTATACACCAAGAAAACTGGAGATTACATTTTAAGCTTTAAAAAGTAATGCAATTTCTTATTCAGAATTAAACCAACAAAGTCTCTAGCATAAAACTATTAAAATTTGACAAGTCACCTGATAATTCTGGATAAACACCATGCATGTATGTAAGTATTAGGTGATGCAATACCTACTTGAAAAGACTTTTACAGAAATGGGTTGTTTCTGCTGTATAGTTTGTGTATGATTAAATCTCGCATAGCAGATATAGTCCTCACGGGTGTCCTCTGGTTGTACATTAGAAAAGTAAAGGTCTCCATTGAGACCTTGGGAAACTCTTTCACTTTGAGGCAGCCTTTGGAAAGCTGAGGAAAAACAAGGAAACATTTATTTCAACTATAATTTCTCTCTATTGTTATGATCTGCAGACTCCACGTTTTTTCCATTATTCTTTTGTAGGTTTGTAAATACACAGACCTTCTGAAATTTTCTCTAAAGCTCCCCTGTCTTTCCATTCTTCCCCACTGTGTTAATCCACAGCTTACATTAAGATCTCCAGCTAATTCTGGCTTCATGCTTTCAGGCTGCATGTTTTCTTGTTTATTCACTACAGAACTAGAAAGTCTGTATTTTAACTTAGAGGGAAACTCCATCACCTGTGGCCTTGGTAAACAACAGTCACCTACATAGAAAAATTGTGCCATGTAAACATAAACTAAGTCTATATAAAAAGCAAACTCACCATTATCCATCCAAAATATTATAGGTGGTGGTAAGCCAACAGGAGGTCTGCAGTTTAGTACTAGAGAATCACCTTCCCGAACATGATTTGGTTCTAGTTTTTCTTTTGTCCACAAAGGGGACCCTATAGAAAATAATTTTAACACACACAAACTATGAATTGAGAAAAAAAAATCTAGAATTTAAGGAAGAAATGCACATAGAATTCCATAAAATGACAAGAACTAAAAGCATCAGTAAGTAAATATGTTAAAACTTTGCTAAATATTTAATTTTGATTTTTTAAATGTTTTTATGGGGGGAAAAACAGATTATTTAAAATAATTTTTACAGCAATAATTCACTAAATGTATAATCACTGATTCAAAATAGTTTGGCTAATCACCAATGGATCTACAAAAGTATCCGAAAATTTTAATTGTGATAAACAAAAAGTAATACTCAAAATGAGAAGAAAAAAAAAACCTCCTGAAATAGTATTACACATGCTTTAATAAAACTTGTGAGAATGGAACATTTTAAGCTAAGAAGTGTGAAAAACTGAAAAACTGATCTGAGAAAAGCTGTAGAAGCAGTTTGCAATTACTTTAAATCTTTGAGCTTTATCTGCTCTGAATTAAAGCAATTATAAAAACTATGGAATACACCCATCAGAAAGAAAGCAAATGTTGCCTGTACCAGATAGGAGCATTCAGGATTTAAACTTTCTATTCCAATTTTAAGTTCATAAATACAACTCAATTTTAAACATCTTAGATCATGTAGTTATACTAAGAAAAAAAATCAGGAAAGCATTTTGGTTACTAAATATTTTAAGGGATTTGGGAGAGGCATCTTCAAATCAGAATATTAGCAATTATACAACACCTTTCTAATATTATCACTTTGCTGAGTTAAAAGGTTATCTCTTTAAGACAAAAGAAGAAAATGAAGCAAAATATCCACAAGAAAACAAGCAAATGTAAGACATTCATGTTTTATTCATACTAGATTTTAACTTACTAGATGGCCGTATAACAATATTGTTGGAAATGGCTGCTCCTCTTTCATTCCTTGCTGTACACTGGTACACTCCTTCATACGCTTCTGCCTTCACACCATTCATAATATTTACAACAAGGGTTCCTGAATTTGGCTTCATTGTTACCTGTGCATCTTTATCTATATCAAAATGAGTTCCATTGCGTGTCCAGGAGAAGCTACATAATAAAAGCAAAAAGAAAAGTTGCTTCTTGGGTTACCACTTGTAGATTACAAAGATAAATTAAAAAAAAAAAAAAAAAGTCATTTTCAGTAATAAATGGTATTTATTTTTTAGCAGGAAAGCAAGAATTGTTCCCAAACTGAATCAACCAATAAAGTAAATACAGCTCTTTTTTAATACAAAAGATCTGGCAAAATTCTGAGATAACAGACTTGGCTTGACTTGTTAACAGAAACCATTTCAAAGCCAGCAGTTTTATTTTAAAATTACATTAAAAAATGCAGAAGTTAATCGTATATAAAAAAGAATTGATTTCTTTTCTACTAAAGACGATACAGTAGCATCTGCTAGAACTGATACTGCTAAAGCAGCATTAGCATTTCCATTTTAAAAGCTATTGTTGAAAGGTTTTATAAACATGCCTTTAAAAACTGGCTCTGGGCTGAAATGTGTCATCTCAGGGCCCAGCAGGAAACCGTTTCTCTTAATTGATTTGGTCCTTTTAAAGTTCAGCATGTGAATTAAAGACTGCAGTGAGTTTGGTTCCTTTTCACTATTCTAACACAAAAGTGTCATTTATTAAATGAAATTTTGCAGCCTGGTAGTCCATAATTAATCTGGTTTATATTGGTGTTACTCAAAACAGAAGATGCTTCAAAAGTAGCCACTAAAAATGAAGACTATTAGAACTCATTTAAGAAACTGTAAAAAGCAAAGATTCACAGCATGCAACTTACACTACTGCAAACACTGATTCTTTAATTTTTAATTAAGGTTTTTAATTTTTAATTACAATTTCTTAATGGTCACAAGTATGGTTACACAGAACTAGACCAATGCCTGTGAAGTTTTGAGCACTCAGTTTTGGATACTGCAAATGACAGTTCTCATACTTTTTACATTTGAGTAGTGTTTAGGGGAGGACTTGGGTGCACACTGAATGGAAAGTGAACCTGATTCTCAGGGCTCTGCAGGTAAAGCTGCAGAATGCAGAGTGTCTGTAGTCTCCAGCTACCAACATACTGAGGAGTGTGGGAACTGTAACAGCGTCAAATGAGAGATGGCACACCCCTGAAGTTCAGGTACATAAAAGTAGAATCTTTCCAGCTCAAGCAAAAGGTAGCAGCATATCCACCAATCTTTGTGCCAGCTCTCACTAATAAGAAGTCACTGTGGATTAACAAAACAATTCACTGGCTGAGAAAGCTGATCTTCAGAGCTTTGAAGCAGTTAAAATTACAATATGCATTTGCAGAACCAGATTCAAGACCAATGGATCAGGTTGGTTACCGAACTAATTTATTCGGCTATCTCATGTTTTTTAAATCTGCAGAACTAAGAACAACCTATTTTTCTCCCTTAGAAAAATCTGCACTTAAATCCTGTCCTTTCTTCTGTCAGGAGAACAAGACAGTCACAGATTTGATGGGAAAGGTGAGGCTGTGCAGCAGAGAGCCCTGCAATAGCACTGATATACTCAGTCTCATGGACTGTGCTCTTAGCTTCTTTGGTAGATCCAACCCAAAAATACTCAAAAGAAGCATCTGCAGAAGCGGTACAGATGTCTCAAAACATACAGTAATCATTCCGTCCTCCAGGTCAATGCTCAGAGTCTTGACATGCCAGCTAACCTAAAATACTTGTAAAAACAGCAGCATTGTGGCATTCCACCATTAACAGAACACTACAAAGGGTGAGACTATCACAGAAAACACACTTCTTTGCCATTTTGCCACCCAGTATGACTATGGTCTGAAAGCAACCAGAAAGAATAATGTAGAAAAACCCTGGTTATTCACATGAAGTACATCTAATGAGCTCAGTGTGTGTCTGAGAAATAATTATAGGTTAACCTTGTGAGTAAATTGTAGTGTAATACTACTGAGAACTAAGATGCATACTTCTGTTTAGTGACCCAGAAATCAGAAGCAGTTACTAGTAATGACAGAATAAATCACTGCTCCTGCTGCTTCCAGTGGAGGTATTCAACATATATTAGGAGCAGAAGCTCCTAATTTCAAATACTGATGCTGAGTATTAACATGGAATATGATCAGGAATCTGATCTGAACATAGCATTGCTATTTTTGCTAAGCGCAGAACTCAAGGTTATGAAATACACCTGGTTAATGAAGGCCTTATAATTTAGATAACAGATACTTAGTAATCAAATTATGATAAAATATGTATGTATTTCAAGACAAACTTCATAAAAATGAGTGTTTTAGAAAACATTAAATTTGAATTCACTCTGAATTTATTCATCGTGGATTCTTCTTAGATGCTCTGCCTGAATCAGGATTGGGTTCCATCTTATAGAAGGCATGCCTTTTCCATAGGCATTTACCTTCCTGCTACTTTAACAATCTAGTATTACTTTGTTTTTGTTAGAGCTCTAAGGTGAAAATAAACAAATACACTACAATTACTTGATGACTGCAGAAAAGTTTAAATCTCAAGGATAAGAATAGTCAAATACATGCCACTTTCTGCCAGCTGTATAAATTACAGGGGTGGGGGCACATGCATATTTAAGCAAAATAAGTCACTACTAACCTAGGAGGTGGTTTTCCTTTTGCTTCACACTGTATTACAATATTCTCTCGAGGGTCAACAATGTAATCTTTTGGAGACTGCTGAGTTATCGTTGGAGGTTGAGACACTTCATTGTAGAATATAAGAAACAGAGAGGAATTTAATAATATCTTAAAATAATCAGCAAGACAAACTTGTAAGATTTTGGAGAAAGCAGAACTACAAGTAGCAAAATCATCAACAAAAGCATTGGATTAAAGTATCCTTTGTACTTGGAGCCTGACGCCTTCTCCTCCTATAGACTAGTGTTGCTGTTAACTTCCAGTTGAGCTGTATCACTTTACTGGGGAGGAGAATCTCAGACAAGAAGCTTTATGGATATCATTTCTACTCATCAGATTTCAACAGATCTTCATGAAGTTAATGGACACTTGAATTCTAAGTCCAAGACATCCCAAATGAACAGTTGTGAGATATAAATCCACATAAAACGTTTTTAACGCACAGGAGGAGAAAAAATCTCTATATTGCTTTTGCTTGTTAAAATATTTGATATATTTGTATATTCCCTATGGTTGTAACCTTTTCATAGCTTTATTGTGCTCAACATATTGAATTAATCTACGAAGCATGCTTTGAGGAACTACTTTTCAGGAGTAAAAAATGTTAGAAATAAAACAGTGCATAAAGGATGTCAAAAATAGAACCTAAGAGTTTCCAAATAGAGAAAACATGAAGAAAAAGTCTAGTACCAATACTTCTAAGATAAAAATAATACAAATACAGTCAATCTCATGAATTGAGAAGCAAATATTTAATATTTATGATTTATGGATAATTTCAAAATTAGTGACATAAAGCGGAATCTATTTGTTTGACAAAGTGGATGATGCCTACCTATTTAAAGTAGTTTATAATCTATTAATTATGTGTATTTTTCATAGATAAATGCTGTTTGTGACATTAAGATAGTGAGAAATGTGACTTCCTCAGCATTACCAATCTGTTTACAGAGTGGTGTCAACTAAAGGAAACAGTTTAATAACATCCTTGCTAACATCCTGTGTAAATTTTATCAAATTGTCCAGCAATACATTCTGCTAGTGCTCTGGGGTCATTTCTAGTCAAAGTATTTCAATCATTAGAGTTATCTCTGTCCTCATACCTCACTCTAGCTAGATAAAGTTATAAATCTGGGACTTTTATTTTAAGCCTTCCCTACAATTATATATGGAGAAAGAATTCTGAAGAAAGAGATAGTGGTCTGTAAAGGACTGCCATAAGAAACAGCCAGAAAAAAAATTCAGATCATGGCATGCATCATAATGAGATGTAACAGGTAAGCAGGGAAGAACAGGCCATGCACAGCTAGGTTTTGCTCTTCTTCCTCACTGCAGAGGAGAAATGTGATTAAATAATGATGGCAATGATGTTAATTGATGATGAGTTTTTGTGTACTTAGAGAGGCAGTGAAGGTAGCCCTTTTCCCTCTCAAAGTCTGTTCATGAGTCAGTACCAATCAGTTGCTTCTGTGGGAAAAGCAAGAATACTCTGAAAAGGGACGTGACATGAGCAATGAACCACATATGGTACATTCCACCTGATGCACATAAAAGACCTGAAGGCTGCCTGCCATGAACTGAACTTAAAACTCATTAAATTGACCAGGACACCAGAGCTGCATTAGAACATCCCACAGAGGATTTGGCTTACCAGCAAAACTTTACATTCTGTTTTTTAAGGACATAATATCTCCAACTCGGACATTTAAAATACATATACTATATTCCAAAGACTTTATTCTTTTATCAACTATATTTACTCCTGAAAGTAGTATTAAAACATTGCTCATGCTGATATTTATAATTTTAATGTTCAGATAGCATACAATCAAAAATCATACAATCCATTTGTTCAAAATACAAGAAGGATTTATATAAAGTAGCAGTTATTGAACACTGCATGCACAAAGCATCTAGCTACAGCAAACAAAGTAGGAGCAAAATGTCAGAATCACACATTTTGGAACTGCATAGTCAGTTTGCAACACGGTCAGTATTAATTTTCACCACCACACAGTCTAGTTTTTGTGGACAGGAACTTACATTCTTCTAGAAGTTTTGCTTTTATTCCCCCATCAGAATCAGCAGATGAATGGACAAATGGAGATTAAAGAGAAACATTTGTTAGTAAAAAGAAAATCAGAATTTTTGAGAGGGAAGACAAGCATCTCTGACAAGTAAATTGGTTACGATTAAAAAGAAAACTTTTAGTATTGTAACAATGGTGATGATGTAACCTGGTCCTCAACTTCCAGTGGCAATTTTCAGCATCAGAAAGTTCATGAGGAACTTTTCTGAAGTGCTGACTTTTTAAGGGCAACCACAACATTGAGATTTTGGCCTTATAAGGACACAAAACGTTGCTACTGAGGAGACAGCAAATTAGAATTAATGGAGTGCATTATCCTCATGCTGCAGTCAAAATCAATCTACCCATATGACCATACAGAAGAACAAAGAGAAAGCTTCAGGCTAAAATTACTCTTACAAAGGGGAAAGCATTTAATTTTGCTCAACAGACATGCTATCCCTTTTAGTTTGAAAAATAACTAAGGGGAATAAATTGTCTTGGTTGCCACATCTTTATTGCTTATTTCAAATATTTTGCATATGTATCTCCTCATCAATAATGTTTTAGAGCAAATAAACTGCTTTCAAGCAGCTACAGTATCAGTCATCCATTATCTACTTTGAGAGAGTGAAGAGAATAGGAACCTAACATGAATGAAACCTAATCAGCTAATCAAGTATGATCTTACCACTGGGTCTCTGCAGTGGATGTGTGGGGAAGACCCACAGAAAGAAGAACATGGTCCTTTTAGTGCTCTCCCAGATACCATTCTAACCATTATATATAAAATAATAATGTAATTATAAACATATTTTTCATTAACCTAATTTTTGGCAAAATTTCAAGTCTTTGACTTTATCAGATCTAAATACAGTACTAAACACAGAATTAAATGTTACACAGTATGGAACATGTTAATTGAGAGTTAATGTAATACATCTAAAACAGCTATTCATTTTTGCCTGTTGATGCATTTCTGGTTAATTTAACTTGAAGTGCTGCTCACTACAGAAAATATTAGAATATTGCACAATTTACATTAGTTTCTAAACTACAAGATGTTAAAACAATATGTCTAGACTGCAAAAACATTTGTGGAGAAAAATTACATCTAGAAAACAAAGTCTTTCGTTCATCACACTGCTAAGGCTTTCTATAAACCTCAATTTAATGCACTAAAGGCATTCACAGCACTACAAGTCTTGTCATTTAGATATATTGATCATGTTACAGAAATAAAGGTCATTGATTCGAGAGGCTTGAAAATATGTTTGGAGGTGGAAAATCACACCAAAGCAGTTGCACTTCATGTCAATGATTATTAAAGAAAAACATGCATTTGTGGAAGGTAGGCAAGTGTCAAAACCACGGGTGTAAAGAAAGCCATGAGGATTAGAATCATAGGTGAATTTACTGATGTATTAATTCATCAATTTAATGCCAACCCTGATGTTCTCTTATCTGGTAATTAGTTTAACAAATGAATAGTCAATGTGAGGTGCAACATGGTTCACTGAATTCTGAAAATGTGATCATGCTTATAATAAGAAGAAAATAACAACCTGGAGCATGAATAAATTCATAGAATTAATTATTACATCTTTAAGACAGTAGCTACTATTGCTTCTTTTTCAGCATGGAGCATTATTTCTAAGGCTCCCTACTAACACAGTCCAGAATAAGACATAAGAATTTCAGATCTTAGGATTTCCTCCCTTCTAGATGTTTCCTAACTGATTATCCCCTCCTTCTCATTTCATATGCTTTTATTATCAGGTTGGGTACTTAAATTTTTTCAGATACTGCTTAGAAAATCTAAGAGACTAACTTACTCTTCTGGATCAAAAAGAAAGATGCTTCCACAGTGTGAGTATTTGAAGATTTTACTGGATATCAAATCAGCTCCAGGGTTTTTAACAAATTCATACAGAATCACAGAATGGCTGAGGTTGGAAAGTCCTTCTGGGTCAATCTGGCCCATCCTGCTCAGCAGCGACACCCAGAGCAGGGTGCCCAGGCCCAAATCCAGGTGGCTGCAGAAGTTCTCCAAGGAGGACACTCCACAGCCACTGGTCAGCCTGTGCCAGTGCTCTGTCACTGCACAGCACAGCAGTGCTGCCTGGTGTTCAGAAGGAACCTCCTGCATTCCTGTCTGTGCCCATTGCCTCCTATCCTGGCACTGAGCACCGCTGACAAGAGCCCGGCTCCATCTTTGCACCCCCATTTCAGGCGAATTGAAATTGCCAATATGATCATAATTTCACAGATAAATAGCATTTAACTAGCTTTCTCTGCCCTTCTTCATTGTGATCACTTTAATAAATAATGATATATGTATCATATATGTAATGCTGTCTATCGTTATGAATTATTTGGTATGCCTATTTAATAAAGATGAATCAAATTTTGGTGTATTTGTGTAACCTTTCTCAAGTGAATAATGTAAGACATTCTATATAGACAGTTTTTGAAAATTTTCAGTAAATTCATGTAAATTCATCATCACAGTGTCCTGACTGAACTGAGCAAACACACTCCATGTTTAGTTCCATGTTGGAGCTGTCTTCATCCTTCTGTACAGAACTTTTTTGTCTGATTTTCTGCACTTATTTAGAAAGTTAATACTTACAATCAAGAGGTACATCCAATGCAGAAATCATTTGGCACAGAAAGAAAATCAAGGAAGCTTTGCTTGCAGATATGCTCTTCTTTTTCATCATGATTTTAGGCTCTATTGAGTAAATCACACTTGTTGAATGAAGTCCAACTTCATTAGATTAGGTAGCTTGGAATAGTTATGTAAATATAGACAAGAAACCTGGTAGATAAAGAGACAATATCAACGTGTAGATACAGTGGAATGATCTCATGTTAAATATCAGCAATATACTTATAATATGCAGGAATGATTACACCACGTACTCTACTGAAGTCAAAATCCAGAAGTTCTTAGGACACCTACATCATAATATTTGCAGCAACTTCTAAATAGTGAATATCTACAAATCTGTTGAATGGAAATGCAGATGAGGTTTCTAAGAAGGATAAATCATCAGTCCTAAGTAAAAAACAGCACATATTATAGAGAATAGTAATCTGATGTAGTTTTAGCAGATTAGAACTCTGAATGCCCACCTAGTCCCTTTCAAAGTCACTAGCCCACCTAGTCCCTTAGAGCAGCATGTGAGACAGCAAATTGCTTCTTTATGTTCAAAGCCATCTAAACTGCTGCACATCATATTGAAACAACTATGTACTCATCATGGTAGATATGGTAATTACAAAACTCATCAGAAGAGAGAACACCTGAGTTCTAACACTTGCATACATATACAAAATAGACAAGGTGGCCAGCCCAACTCCAAAATACCTAATAGGTGATTACTGTACACTGCAGAGAACCATGACAAATGGATACAGACTCTCCTAGAAAAATTAAACAGAACCCTCTCACATTTTAAATAAGCACTTCAAAATGCTGAATGTTTGGACTAGGGAAGGGGAGAGATGTTTCTTCCATTCCACTGGTAACACGTGAGCAAGCTGGTTGGCTTCCTATGGTCCCTGCGCTGACTTCACTCGACTGACTACAGCTGTGTGCTCTTCTTCACAGGGAATAGGTTTCCACAAACTGCTTTCCTGATCTTTACTGAATCTCCTCATTTCATCAATGCAAGTTCAACTCTTAAGTCTGTACGTTTTCACAAAACATTCTCTGTGTACAAGGTATCTGACCTCAAGGATTTAGAGAACACTCTTTGAACTATTTTGCAAGTGAACTGAGATTTTTACTTCCCCAAGCAAAATTTCATTCTCTTTAGGAAACTCTGAGAATCTAATTATCCACTTTACAGTCTTGTTCTTTCATTGTGCAAAGGGAGCATTGCAGTAATTTGAGATATTTCAGAATTAAATTGCATTCCCTTTGAACAAGTACAAATGAATACACAAGCAGTGTATTGGGTATGTGCAATTAAATTAAATTAAATGATTGTGGAAATAATACCCTTGAGAAAATGCCCCCCATAATCTACTGCTGCTATTGCATTGTTCCTGTAAGGTATCTATTGAGTTTGCTGCTGCAATGTTTGGATGTGATATGGGAATTCAACAGGTAGCAGGAGTTACGAAGCTGAGCTTGAACACTGGCTTGTCACTGCAGAGAGAAAACATGCCCAGATGATTTGTGATAGGACATATTCAACTGAAAATGATTTTAGATTTGTCAGCACAATTGCATGCTCTTGTTGAATGCATTCATAATTAAATCTGACATAATTTAGTATAAATGCAACAGCTGCTGACTGGAACTAAACCCTGTTTTGACATAATATTATCCACCAAAATAGGCCAGGCCTCTAAATGCAGATCAACGTAAATGCTTCAATTTCAAAACCTGAAATATTTATATAGCAGATTGCCTTCTCCTCCAGCTGATTTATCTAACAACTCTCATAAAACTCAGACATGTTGTCCTACCCTTTTATAGGAAAACACAGATTTTGACTGATTCGCACAAAAAGAGATTCCCTATGCTTACACACTTCTTCTGTACATAATAAAATACTAATTGCTATATCTTCTATTCCTCATGCTGAGATGCTGATAGCATGGACTAAAGGTTGAAGCTATCATGTAGGAATCAGGAGCCAATGTTAATATGAAAATATAAAGTATATTAATATTTCATAATTAACTGTAACACTGGATCTCAGTGGGACAGTTTCTTATGTATTCAGAAGGAGGATCAAGCGTAAGACATGTAATTTTTCCCTGCTTTTTGTTTTTTGTTTTTTATTTCAAAAATGATATGGTCACTTCTCATGAATAAGCTGCAAACAGGCAATGACTGAAGGAGTGAAAGTGCCCTTGAACCTGAGGTAGAACATTCGGCAGCATCACAAAACACATTTTGGTGCCAGTGATCTTTTTGCTGTGACTCGTAGATCTGGACACATGGCCTGTTAGCTTCCTTCTTAGATGGATTATTTGCATCTCACAGTACTTAGAAACAAAAATCTGGCTCACTCAGTCATCTCAATCTGCCTTAATGACTGTCTTGTCTTCAGGGTTATTGCTGTTCTGCCAACCTTCAGACCACCTGCTAATCTCAACGTGTAGAATTACAACTGATAGAGTCAGCAGACAGAATGTTAAATCTCACTGGCCTTTGCATTGCTCCTCATGAGAACCCTATGAGAAAACCTCATAGTCATTGATGCTTTTTTAGTGACAGTTACAAATTAAGACCTTCTAACTAGTTTGCTGATCATTCAAGTCTGGTCCATTTCATTATATAGTTAAATTTCTGTATTTACTAATCAGTTTCACATGGCAACAACTAAAATGCTTTTCACTGTCTATTTCATCAACAGCATAATCTTATCAAACTTATAATTTTATCAAATAATAGAAGATTAAAATCAGGTTTTCATAAACTATTTGTTTTACAAGCCCTACTTTCCATAAAACTATGTTGAGTAGAATTAATTTTACTTGTGGCCTTTAATTCCCTATCAGCTGAATCCTCAATCAGCTTTTTCCATATGCTCACCATGATTTATATCAGGCTATATTTATCCTGCTCAATCTGCTCGTCTACTCTGAATCTGGGCAGAACACCAGCTTTCTTCCAGTCTCAAGGAACGTATTAAAAATGAAAACCTGTGAACGAGAAATTTCCCCCACTGTCTCTTCCAGAACTCAAAGCCAGACTCATCATACTGAGATTCATTAGTTAAAAAACATAGAATCATAGAATCATAGAATCACCAAGGTTGGAAAAGACCTAAAAGATCACCCAGTCCAACCGTTCACCTATTCCCAATAGCTCCTACTAAACCATGTCCCTCAACACAACATCCAGTCTTTCCTTGAACACCCCCAGGGTCGGTGACTCCACCACCTCCCTGGGCAGTCCATTCCAGTGCCTGACCACCCTTTCTGAAAAGTAATACTTTCTCATGTCCAGCCTGAATCTCCCCTGCCGTAGCTTGAAGCCATGTACCTCCAGTAAGTGTTGTTTAATATCCATTAATGGCTACTAGTGATTAAAAATGCTCTCTATCCTAATGCGAAATATACTGTTTCATCAAATTTCTTGTGATATTCATAACACTTTAGCAGTAAAAGAATAACATGTTTCTGAAGTAGCTCACGTCACAGTGCTAATTCTGTTCTGTTACTAAGACTTTTACCAATAAAAATACACCCAGTATCGGTCTACTTATGTCCCCTGTGGCAATGGCCAACACATCTGCTGTTAGGACAGAAGCTCTTTCATACAAGTGCCAGTGCTGATACACAACCACACAGCCCCAGCACAGTGAGACCCAACCGCCTTTAGTGTAGTGTCAGTAACAGCTACTGGAGCAGCACGAGAAGGCTCTATTAGCCACCCATGTCACATCATTGATGGGCTGCTCTAGCACCAGGTGGGCTGTCACCCACATAGCAGACACAGACTTGCACAGTCTGCACCTGACCAGTCTTTTATCAGTGTTTTTTAGGGCAAATGGGGTATAAATGAAGGTGTATGGCAGTTTGAGAAACTCTTTCAGGAGTATTCTCTCCAGCATCACCCATACAGCAAGTGGGAGACAGGAGTAAGCCCCTGTCTTTCAGTTTAGACATTGTGTATCTTTTCCATACTGACAAGGAACAGGCAGTTTAGGTCCTCTTTTGTTCACTTGTTTATTGTTGTTGTTGATTTTTAAAATTTGTTTTCTCCAAATCCTTCTCCCCTTTTCTTCTGGGAGTCTTTCATGTTGTTCTTCCCTGTATCCTGTAACACTTTATAGCTGCTAAACGCAGCTCAGTAGCAAACTATGAGCACTGGGATACAGCTAAAAAGGCAAGAATGTAGGCCTTAAAAATTCCTCTCAGCGCAGTCTTATTTCAAATGTCTGCTTCAAAAGTGAAAGTGCCATATCCCAGAAGTGCCCAAAAACGCAGAGCAAAGTGTAAAGTTCAAACGTCAGTAGGTCTACCACGTAGAATCAGCCACAATCCACACTGAAATCTTGTCTTCAGAGCAGCCACTTAGAGCTGTTTTTTAAAAGACCACAGAAGGGCTGAGCTGTCCTTTTACAGTTGCCTTGCATATTCCCTGTGGACCTATACTGGATTTGGGCCTTGTGAGGATTTAAGCAGAGGAGCATTTGTTCCTAGATCCTGCTCAGATTAACGTATAAGCTGCTTTGACTGGAGCGATTACATACACGGCAGAGCAAAGCTGTGGATACCTCTCAAACAGGAAGGTAAAGCTAGTAAGCCTTGCAAGTTTAGATGCCTTCAGAGTCAAATCGGCAGCTAAATGGCATTTTGGGATTGAAATTTAAACTCAAATGTCTCCGCTTTGCTTGGGTGCCTTCTGGTGACCTAAATCCTGCACTGCATTCAGTCTTTTTCACCTTTTTTTTTTCTCCTTATTTACAACAGAAGATAGAATAGAGTATTTGAATCATGTTTTAATGTCATTTGTTTCATTAGTCCTTTCGTGTCACAAGCAAACAGCCTGCACAAATACGCACTGCCTCTTCTCCATGTACATGCATTCTGCTCTACTGCAAAACACTGGTTAAAGTGACTGAACTGAGTGTAACTTTGTAAAGCAGCTGAAGAGTGGGGGATTACATGAGATGGAGTGGAAACACAACTCACATGGGTTTAGAATAACAGTTGGGCTTGTAGTGCATTGCTAGATACAGTGATTAAGGAAAGTAAGGAGTTCAGCTTGGTTATTACATTTCCCTGTGAGTTAAAAATCTCTCAGAATGAGTGTAAGAAAACAGAGTAAGAAAACACATTTTTGTAGCTACCTGGATGTTCAAAACAGGTACCCACATTGCTGTATTATTAGAACAGCTCTTCAGGTCATGCTTTAACATCATTAGAAACACGTAAATGATGTGGATGCTCACTACATCCACTCCAGGAGGTCTTAAGTCAGACTGAACTTCAACAAGACAAGGCTTTCAGGTAGGTTCTTTCTCTCTGAAAGCTTTGAACTGAGAGAAAAGAGGTGTTTGTTGCTTGTGAGAAGTAAATATATGAATCATCAGACTGCTGCTGTAGCAACACTACGCTGTGCAAACAGAACCAGAAGGAAAACTGCAGAGTGGGCAGGAGGAAAATGCACCATCATCCCGAGCAAGGGCTGAACACAGTGCCTGCCATTCGTTCCTCATAAACATGCAAAAGGGATGCTCAGCTGAAATGCTCCCTGAAATGCTAATTTCTTTGCTCAAGAGATATGACGATGTTCTTTTTTTCTCTCTTTTTTTCTTAATTATTTTTCTTTTAAGCCAATGCAAGGGATTCAAAGAGCTTGCTTCTCAGAAGATAACGCATTCTGTGTTCCTTTGGTTAATTACATTTTTACATCCCTACAGCTAACCCCAAAAGCACTATCTGTCTAGAAGCATTCCTGCAATCCAGAGATATTCTTGTGAAAAGCTTACTGTGCAAAAGAGCAGAATCTGATTCAAAGATAGGGAAACTCCTCCCTCTGGGAAGTAGAGCAGAAATCACTAATATTAGCGTGAAATGTCAGAATAGTTATGCTAGGGAGGAGGTCACTCAGAGCAGGGACACTGCCAGAAACTGAGGACTAAGGCATTCTGTCAGATCTAAAACCCTAACAAGTACACGAACAAAGGAGGGTAAACAGCACTAAGGGAACACACTGTACAAGCTCCAGCGAGCTCCCTGGGTAAGTTTTTGGGAGATGGGGGCTGGGGACTGTGCACCTACGTGTCATATCTGTTTAGCAGGCAAAGTTAACATGCTTGCTATTTTTAATTAATTCTATTACAGGAGTTAGCTGTGAGCTTTAAATCTCTGCATGCCTTTATAAAACAAAATGAAAATTTACCAAGAGCTCAGATCCACACCCTTCAAAGCTTTAGAAATGCATCTGCCTGTTTCATGGAAAATGCTGGTAACATTAACAATGATTACAGCTGTACAGCTCGGGTCTGTCCCTGCTCTCATTCATGGTCATTCATTCTACTGCTCTTCCCAGCAGCAAGATGTGATGCCTGAACAAGCAAAGTAACTCCTCCAAACTTGCAGATACTGCCAGCGTTGAGCCATGTTTCACAACCAGGTCACCACGCTCAGGTAACCATGCTTAGGGTCACCTCTGCAGGGATGACTACTGCCCTGACAACAGCAAACAGACCAAGAACATCTGATGAATTCGGGATATTAGCACTTTTCTATATGAGTATCTCTAGTTCCTCTCATTCTCAAGTAATTTATAACATGCAAATTGCTAAATGTTTTTATCACCTTCAAGAAAAATGCTGGCTGCACCTAGCACCTGGACTCTACAAGACTAAGTAAAATAGGGAAGGTTGGCATTCAGTCTTCCATTTTTACTATCGCCTTCGTGCGTTTTTATTTTTAACATTACCTTGCAGACCTTCTAGGTCCCTGAATGCCTTTAGCTGTTAGGGACCCTACAGAAGTTTGTGGTAGAAGCACACAGCATTGTGTAAAAATGCGCTGTGAACAACGGCACAACTTTGCTGACTGCAGGTATCACCCAGGTAAAAGCTAACTTACTCAGCTGGCACTTGAGAAAGCAAAGGCATTTGATATCTACTCTCCACAACAGACACAGAAAAATAGAAAGAGCCACCGGAACGTGGGTCAGTCCTTCCTTGTTACACATTGATAGGATTTACCCCATTCTCACTGAAGAGGGCACACACACCATAGCCAGATGTATCCTCCTCCCTCTAACATTGTTAACAATAATCCTCCATTAGATGGCAGGTTGACCCAGAGAGACACAGGGTAGGTGCTGCTCTGGGCTTGGAGCTGGGGAGGGAAAGTCTGGGATGGACAACTGACACCAAAGCATGTCAATGGGAAGGGACATAGCAAACAAACAGTAGTGTCCATGGTTTCCTGGGGGAGGGGAAAGGCAAGAAAGGAAGCATTGTGCATTTAAAGGCATTAAGGTTGGAGTTCCATGTTAAAACATTACACACAGAGCCAGGTGTAGGTAAATAGAAATTCAGAGATATTCACATAAAAAACATGACACAAAAGTCATTTTCCAGCGGAGTTCAGTCAAGTCTGGAAGGCAACTGGGTCTAGAATAGACCCTGCAACAGCCCAGTGACTTGCACATGAGTACTTGTTATATCCACAGTCTCTTTTACAGGACATTCACAGTGGCAAATTATTTCATTGTAGGCTACACCTCAAAAAAATGCTGAAACAGCATTGCAGATATTTCACAGGAAGAAACAAGGAAAAGGTAAAATATCAATCTTGCTGTAATTACAGAATATTTAAAAGCACTGATACCTAGAGACTTCAAATAAGTTGTGGATCCACAGTGGATCATCGTAAGGCAAATGCCAGCAAGTTTTAAGTGCACTGAGGTACCACAGGTCTGCATCTGAGTGATGCTTCCACAGCCCTGACTGTATCTCAGAAGTAGAACTGCACAAATGATGGGTACTGTCCACACCATGTTGGTTTTCATCTGTCAGGACTATGGGCCAGCCTGATGTGAAAGTGAACATTTTTAGCTCAGGGCAGGAAAAGCACCCTAGATGAAATAATAGGAAGCAAAGGATAAATCAACGCTTCCCTTTTTATTACTTTCAACAAGAGTCATCTGTTATCTACAACTACCAAGTCTATCCCATCCATTATTATCTATTTATCTAAATACCCCAAACGATAGACCCAAAGTACTTTATTCTAGCAGGATAAGTTAGAATATCAGATACAATGCAATAACATTTATATTTTTTGGATTAATCTGTCACACTACTGGTGTTGCTCGACCAGGTCTTCCACTGGCTTCATCAGAACTTGTCCTGATTAAAAGTCTAAAGATTTGTTCTAAAACCTTTACTGCAGTTCATATTTCTATATTTTTAATTCTGCATTTCTTAGCCATTTTCTTGGATCTGCAATATCAGAGACATAAATAAAAAAAAGTAATTCCAAACATAAGTGAAGAGCTTTTTAAAGTGTGTTTTACGTTTATGTAAATGTGGACAATTTCCTGCTATTACAATGTTAAGGAATTAACACTTCTTTTAATTTATTTTTATTTTAATGTATCAAAACAACAAATACAACAACAACAAAACAACCCTGCAGCTTAATTCTCACGATAAATCTTGTATTTCTAATAGAGATTTTAAAATACCATTATCAATTACAAGGTTTCCAAGTGAGAAATGCTAACTTACATTCCCATGCTGATGTCCCTTTATTTTAAAAATATTTTATAAGTTAAGAATATTGTTACTTTTGCGATTATAAGAATCTGGAAAGGCAATTAATACTACTAAAACAACACAGTTTTAGCTGTAGTTTAACAAAGCAGCAATAGGACAAAGCCAGTAACTACATCCTGAGTGAGCTTTTTTATACAAATCATTAATTCAAACCTTCAGGGTAAAAAAAGCTCATTTATTCACTGAGAAGTTAATCTAGTTTGCATTCTAACTCAGAAATAGCATTTCCTGCATTTTTATGTGTGTACGCGATTCAATAATGAAAAAAAAAAAAAAAACTTACCCAGGACTTCATATCTATTATGTAAGAAAACATACTTTGATGTAAAAGCACACAATGTTCACAGATTCATTTGAATTGCATATCCACATTACCACAGAGAAGATAAAAGAAACTTCTTCCATACTGCCATGTTTACTACTATTTTCTTTGGCTTGTTAAAACTAATTTATCCTTTAAATCAAGATCTCAAACTACACACATGGTAAGAATAGCAATTTTTTTTTCTGTTTAAAATAAGTTCAGTGCACTTCTTCATTGTCACACCAACGGCTATTTTTCCATTCAGTGTAAACTTTCAAATTCTCTGTTTTTCCCTTATATGAATATTATGCTAAGTACAACTACTATCATCCCACAAAATTAACATTAAATAATAAATTAAAGAAAGAAAGAGTCTTCAAGGTAACAGAAAAATTGCAGCATTGCAAGAGGAAAACATGAAATCCCCAAATCACTCCAAAAAAAGCCTTTCTGAAATTCTGCTCATAGTACTACACAAAAACATTACAACTACACCACAGGACTTGCAGTCCATACTGCACACAGTAACAGCAGATTAAGTACTGCATTATTTTTTTCACACTCAAAAATGGATAAATTTAACCAAGTAAAAGTAAAGCAGCTTGTTATTTGTTTCTGACAACACATCCATGCACAGAAACAAGGCAGTATGATTTCACCTCACAACAGAATTCTCATTCTCAGGAAAACAGTTTTATAACTAAGCATTAATTATAAAACTATCAAATTACTAGCACAAACTACCTTTTTTTCTTTTTTTTTTTTCTCTCCATAATCCATATCTAGTGGATAAAACCGATTTCTCTTCAGTAAAATGGTTACATTCCACAGTAATTTCTCCAAGCACAGTTAGTAAAAAATCAATTCAGCAAATTCTGCCAGTTATAATTTTTGCACAGTTGTGATATTTCATGTGCATTTTTCACACAAGTAAAACATATGAACATTTCAGAAGGATAAGCCTCAAGAAACTATCAATGGGAGAACAAGTCCTTTAGAAAGTGAAAATAAACAAGTCTAATATTCTGAATTAGCTTTGATGACATCAAATACTTGGCTGTGCTTTATGGCTTTTATAAATTCTCTTACCCTGTGACCAATTTTTCAGTCAATCTAGTCATAGAATAACAAGGAATCAAGGCAGCTTGTTAGTCACACCCCTGGTCTTTGCACATCTTCCAATTTTAATCCTACAAAGGAAAACACAAAGAACTGCTCATTCACCTCTTGTGTAACACCTACGAGTGATACAACTGCCTTAGCATAATACTATTCTGGATTTCAACATGTGAAGAATGCAAAATTGCTATAAATCAACATTAAAGGCTAAAATGATTTTCTCAGCCATGCTAATTTGAGAGATGCCGTTGTCCACAGATTTTTAATCTTACATTGCATTGCCTTACTGCTTATACACCAGAGAAACCGTGATATAACTAAGACCAGAAAGGACTCTTTAATCTTCAATATAAAATTAAATTTTGCTGGTTTTTCAATTTATCCAGAGACTTCGCAGCACTTAAAACAGTGCTTTGTTCTATTCATTTTAATCAAATGTTATTTTAATTGGGTCTGTAAGGACTTGTAGAAACTACTGCACTAACAGGAGAAATCTTAGTTTTGATCTCCCGTTCTTAAAACTCTCAAATCAGCCATTTCTTATTCCCTCACCTTTAACTTCCCTTGAGGCATGATTCCCAAGGTTTCCACACCTTCAATTCCCATTTCAGATTATCTCAGAAGAATAATGTATCTGAAAGCAGGACTTGTGGGGGCAACTTCTGTAATTTTTTGTACAATCTATGGGAAAGAATTAAAGGCTTATGTAGTGCTCTGGGAAACCCTTCACAGGGCATGTGGACAGAGCCAGAGGAAGACAACTCTACCGAGCATGATGTTTTATGATGGTTATGAGAGCTGCTGTTGTATGCACCCAATATGAGATCAGATTACTGCAAGAAGCAAGAAATCAAGGCAGGACCTTAAGACCACCAGTTGGGAATGTATGCCTTTTCTCCCTCCCCCTGGTCTAAGCATCTTCCCTTATTGAAGGCAGACAGCTGCTGTCTTTTCTTTCTTCCTGAAAGTTGTAAGCTAACTGGATGCCTCCAGACTGGAGGAAGAAATGCTTTCAATGCTGCTGAGAGAGCAGCCACCTATGAAGGAGGGATATGAGAAAAAAGGCAATTGAGGAAGAACTCAATCAGACCTTAACTAAGAACTATCCATTCCGTATGCAGGCAGAGGCTTTGACTTATGGTTTTTCTTTGCAATAAAATACTAAATCAATAATAAAAATACCCTCTTAGAGAGGGACATTTTGACAGCTGAGACTGGCTGATAACAGCTGGAGACAAAATTGAAGCTCTCCTCTCCCACTTATTCTCTCCTTCTGTAGGAGTACATTGACTCAAACTGTTTCACTGCAAAGATTTAGTAGTTTACTGTTTTCTAGCCTAAAAGATAAATCAGTTCATAATTATATTCCACAATTAAGTTGGCTTCAATTTGTGCAGACAACAGTTAGACTGAATTCGTTCATCATC